CTTTGTTTTCTTACTTATCCAGGGTCATGGATCCAAAGAAGCCGTGGACAAGAGGGTTGAACAGATCAGGGACGAGATTGAGATGACCAACTCAGATTATGAGAAAGAGAAACTGAATGAAAGAGTGGCCAAGCTGTCCAATGGGGTCGCAGTATTGAAGGTAGGTGGTGATTTTTTAAATTTATTTTTTGGTGTGTGTTTCTTGACAAATGAGCAATTTGAAGAATACTATATGATCAAACTTTGCCATTTATTTGGTGTTTTAACTGTAGAAAATAATAACTTGAATACACCAAGGCATTATGGTTGTCACTTAGGTTTTCTTTTTACTGTGCAGTATCTCAAAAATGCTTTACTTAATGTTTGAAAGAAGTTGCATCCTTTTTTTTTTTTTTTTAATATATAAATGACTAAAGGAAATTTTAAGATTTCAATATATTAATCAGATTTGATTTTTTTTTTTTTCAATAAATAAAACTCATTATAGTCAGAATTTATCACTCTTTTTGTATTTATTATTATTATTTTTATATATTTAGTCTCACTTTGTTGATTACTTTCAGATTGGTGGCTACAGTGAAGTAGAAGTAGGAGAAAAGAAGGACAGAATTAACGATGCTCTAAATGCCACTAGTGCCGCAGTGGAGGAAGGAATCGTCCCTGGTGGTGGCACTGCCCTCCTTAGGTGTATTAAAACACTGGACTCTCTCTCACCTGGCAATAACGATCAAAAGACAGGTGAGATGACCAGAATAACATGATGAAATTGTGGATTCTGCTTGTCATGGTGGGAAAAAAATACCCTGAGTGTAGAAAATTGTATTGAGTCAGTCCAATGGACAGGCAACCAGTTTAAGAGCTGTCATATAAAATTTTTCAGTCTTTCTGGGACCGTCAGCTTTTTCAGAACTGCTAAGCTTAATGTATGACTGGTTATAAAAGTTTTGAGAATGTCTGAACTTCCTACCAACTGGCAACAAACATCAAGGGTGTCCTGCTTAGATACTGAATTCTAGAAAACTGTCGTTTGAATTTAGAAAAAAGTCGTATTTTGTTTTTATAGGTTTCACAGATTTATGAATTTTCCTTTTCTGCTGCTGTTTAGCCTCTTTATAGTATTAGTAATAATCCATTTTAAAGAAATATTTCAAAGCAAACTAAAACTGCTGCACTGGATTAAGTTATCACTATTATGAATATTGATGGAGAATTTTCTTGGCTCCAGGCATTGAAATTATCAGGAAGGCTCTGCGCGTGCCAGCACATGTTATCGCACAGAACGCAGGTGTAGACGCAGCGCTCGTCGTGGAGAAGGTGCTGAATCAAGAAGGCAGCATGGGTTACGACGCAATGAATGGCGAATACGTGGACATGATTGAGAAGGGAATTATTGACCCAACAAAGGTGAGTGTTAAGGTTGCTGAAAGCAGTGAATATGTCCGTGTATAAAGGAAAATGTATGTTACAACCTTAATGTTGAATAAAAAACAGGCTTATTCATTAGCAAATAAGTATTTGTTGGAATGGAAGTAAAAGGAATACATGGTGACCTGAGCAAAATGTCTGGTTGGACATTTGGTTTCATTTATCAGTTCTTTGTGTGTTGAAGGTTTGGGGGGAGGAAGGAAGGGGGAGGGTGGAGCGCCCGTCATGAACACAAACGGATTGATAAGCTTGTGCAATATTTGTATTTCAGGTTGTCCGAACAGCTTTGGTAGATGCAGCAGGAGTGGCCTCATTACTGTCAACAGCCGAGACTGTGATCACTACACTACCTGAGAAAGAGACTGGCCCTGGCATGGGTGGCATGGACGGAGGAATGGGTGGCATGGGAGGAATGGGCGGAATGGGTGGCATGGGATTCTAGAAAACAAAGACTGATTCCTTTAATTAAAAAAAAAGCATTGAACAACTAAAGAGGCTCTTTTAATACTTTGCTAGAGGGTCACAAAATGAAGTATCTGATTGAGGAGACTTTTCAGCCAGCTGTCAGATGTGTCTTTTGTGTACTGTCTTGAGGGAAGAGACCTCTATGGTTGAGAATTGATGGACCTTGGAGAAAGGAGAGGCCAAGCTGTTAATACTGCAAATTTTTTCTTACCCATTTCTCGTCATTGGATCATTCTGCAAACTACTTTGATCATCTGAGCATAAGACTAGCTGAGTAATGGAGGGATTTATTCATGTTTTAATCAGATCAAATGCTATCTTCAAGAACATTGCACAAGTATTCAACAGAGAAAACTTGCTTGCTCAAAACTTATGTAGTTTTAAGAACCAGGTAGACTGTAACTGTAGACTATGTCCTTAGAGATCAGGAAGGCAGACTTTCCCATTTGTAGCACATTGTTGAGTCAACCACTGGTATAAAATGACAACAAAGGGAGATTTCCTTGACAGTGTTAGTTTGGTGTCTATTAATATGTTCTTAAAATTAAAACATTTTCATGAAACAAAGTTTTGTTTACAAAACCGTAAAAGGCAATTCAGAATATTGGATTTAGATTTCTGTTCCTCTGAGAAAAATATATAACAATATATAATCACAACTAACTGACATTGATATATCTTTAAGAAATAAACTGAGGAAATAGGTATGAAGGTAGAAATTGTGTTCAATTAAATAGTCTGCATTAGCATGTACTGTATGTGCAGAATTCTTCCAAGTTTTTTCAAAAAACCATGTATAGCCAGGTTCTGTTATCTGTACCCTGTATTCATTAAGGACAGTATACATTTCATCATGCTTGTGGTACTGTAACAGAAACGGTTATATTGGGTGCCTAAAATGTATGAAGATTTTGAGCCAGTGTGTCTCCTCTATTAAGTTTTCATCTGTGGTAGGAAGATAGGAGTATCTTGCTGCTTTCACAGCTTTTGTACGAAGTAAAGTCTGCTCTTTTGCCTTTACTATAGTAAAAACTGCCAATGTTTCACTGCCTGTATTGATGCTATGTTTGTTTTTTCTTGCATTTGAAGATCATGTAATGCAGATTTTTTTATTAAGATATTTTCTCTTTGACATGAAAATATCCTGAGTGATGAGAATGGATATGGCATATGCTGGATAATTTGCACACTTGTAGAGAAGATTATTATTTTATCTTACACGTACAATATAATGGAATAAGAATGCTTTGTTAGTGGATAGCAGCTGTTATTTAGTAAGCATGATTTAAACTACTCTGCAAATTATTGTGGGAAATTCTTTCTAGAAAATATTTTTGTTTTCTAATTCATTCCAACATTAGTAAGTGCTTAAATGAATATCGTTCTGTTTCTTTTTTTTTTTTTTTTAAGAAAAATAAAAATCATAATTCAACTTTTGTTTTTGCACAACTTTCTTGTTGTTGACAGGCCTTGGAGAGCAAATGTATTGTGGTCAAATATGAAAGTGAGCGACCTCTGACCTCTGGAAGTTTGTTTTGAACACTTCTTTTTCCTGCCTCCTTTTACAAAAGATGGAAACAAGACCAGGAAGTGAAAGGTATTGAAGACATTTCTTATTGCTTGTAAGAACTGGAAGCAAAATAAAAACGAACTTCTGGGAGGATATTAATTATTTGGTGCCACGTGATGCCATAACGTCCTAAAAAGGTACACGTGCAAGTTGTTAAACGCTCATACAACTGCACCATTTTGCATGTGACTGGTCCTTAGGTTAGGTCTTAGTCCTAATTCCATTTTTATTAGTGACGTGTTGCTATTAGGAAGTTACACTTCGAAACTGGGGAATTACAATGAAACTTGACGCCACGTTGCCATATTGAAATAAGAAATTTTCAGTTTATAAATTATTAATGGTTCGTTATTCTTGCCTATTTTTAAGGACATATCAGTAAATACAGATCATTGTATGAGTGTACTACAGGTAATTCTGCTTTACGTCCGTTTTATGTTATTAATAATCTTTTGGACATAGCCTTGGTTGTACATGCATACCAGGCGCTTATGGTAATTGATATATATCTAATCTGGTAATCAATTTTCCACCGATGAATGTCAGATACAGTATTTCACCATTATTCAGAAAGTTCTCCAGTATATATCAAACTGTTCATTTTGATATCAAAGGTAGCATCACTTTTATGGACTTTTTCATGTGTTCATTGATTTCAGCAATGTCCAAGAGTTAGGTCATTATTTTAAGACTCTTCACTGCCTTCTCAATTTCTGAAGTGCTTCATTGTTTTGTTGTTTAACATTTCTTTTTGTTTCCTGGGTCCTAGGAATACAAGTACTGTATCAGCATGTTCATGCTTGTTTATGAACATGACTTTTAATTACAACCTCAAAATATAAATAACGTTTTAAAGTACTTTGATAATATTGAAATGATAATTTACAAAGAATCTGAGTTATTGATCTTGATACTTTTTTTTTTATTAAAGATTGGATTGGCTTTAGGATCTTAGGTTTTAATATTTCTGCTAGTTCCATACCATTTACTCTCCCCTTGGCAAGATAAATCTAAATTCTACTGTAATTGTACTTTAAGATATCCCATAGAAGCTGTGAGGTTAATTTGCTTGATTGAGTGAACTTGAATTGCTTCAGGAATCAATTTTTATTAACTAAAAGCAAGAGAAGGTAATATTTATGATGCATTATGAATGATAAGATTAATATTCTTGAGATGCATATAAGAAATGCCTTCTTTTCATTTAGTAATTTTTTGATATTGTATGGTAGATTACACATCATCCTTTTCTTAGGAATATCAATGCAGTTACTAATGTGGCTGTACTCTTCTTCAGTTGCAGTCAATATTCAAGGGTTCACACAGATACCCTCAGTACAACAGTTACTGACCATGTGATATGTTATTAGCACCTTTAGTATCAGTTTAACTTATGAGATTTTGAAAAGAAAATTCTATTAAAAATTCAAAATACAGTGTGTGTGCATGCATGCATTCATGCACGTATTGCCTGTATTCAAAATAGACAAGTTTCAGCTATAACTGTTACTATGTTTATTCACTTGTGATGAAAATGAAAGAGGGACAAATTAATTTGAATTTATCAATTAAAACAAGAAGAAAGCTTTGATCTCATGAGAGAGGTATCATTATAGTACTTACTAGTATGTGCAAAAGCAGTTTATGCCCTAAATTTCTTGGTTACTCCAGCAAGATGATCAAGAAGACAAGGAAATTGCAATTAAATGTTGTAATCGGTATGAAGAAAAACCTACAGGTAATAAAAATTATTCAACAGTACTGTTCAAACTTCTAAGAGTCTTAAGTCAGGTTCCCTGGCTAAGAACTTAATTACATAGCAAAATAAAATTCAATTTCTTTGTAAGTGAAGTTATATTAGTACAAGCTGGTCCAGGAGCACATCAAAGAAACTTCATAGAATTTCATCATAAGACATTGTTCAAGTTTTGATTTGTTCGATTTTGTTTTCAGTCATATCCAGGGTACTTTATGCACTTCCATCACCTCTGGGATTTGGCTGATGAAACCCTTTTTCCTGTCTTCTTCAAATAGCGAAAACCTCTTATTCTATATCCACCTTCTCCAATCATTATTTCCCCGCTTTTGGTCATTCCCAAGGCGTATGGCTTGGTTATCCCATCATCCTCTGTTGCAATGTATCGGGCATGGTCACCTCTGGGAGTTATCATCGCAACTCTGTTGTTGGCCCAGTCAGCCACAAAGGTGTAGCCATATTTATCTGTGCAGACACCGCGCGGTTCATACAACTGGCCGTCGCCACATCCGTAAGTGCCATAGGTGTACAGCGTGTGGCCCACTGAAGAGAGGATATGGATACGATAACTGCCATAATCACAAACCACTATGGTGCTGTACTGTCGGCCAAATGCAATGGAACGTGGTTCTTTACACATTCCAATTTTGATGACATTGAGAAGGTCTCCATCGTCGGGATCGAAGATGAAGATGGCCTTCTTTATGGCATCACATACCATAAGCTCTCCTTCCCTGTTCATGGTGATACCATGGGGTGCTTCTAGCCTGTCACGACCAAAGGGGGGCATTTTTGGGAACCCTCGTGGTGTGTAAACACTGATGCATTTCTCTGCCAGCGACGTCACATACATGTCCCCGTTTTCTGACACGACCAGATCCTCTGGTTCTTCATTGAGGTTGATGACGTATTCAAACTCCCAAAAATGTGTGTACAGCTTGATTTTGTTGTTGCCTGCATCCAAGAAGTACATGTGCTCATTGTCGAGGGCCATTCCGGTCACTTTGACATCGCTGCGGTCATCCTTGAATTTGACACTGAGGGAATGGACAAATTTTGCAGGCTCTAAGAAGTCCAAAGGAGCCTCAACTGTTGGTGTGGCTTCTCTTGACTCACTGATGGTACTGTCACCTGGTGGTAAAACAGCAGCAGCAGAATCTGTTGGCAAACTGTAATCAGCCTGAAAGGACAATCTTCCTAGCATGCCATCCAAGCCATCTCCTGATATGTTACCAGGGATGAAATAGAGTGGATCTGGGCTGTCCTCGGATGGGTTCGGAAGTGGCACCCTTTCTAGTGTTTCTAGTCGCTCCACAAGTGACTCTGTGTGTGTCATAATGTCAGAGTCGGATCCACTCAAGACGAGTTGCTGAGCAAAATTGCAGGCACTTTGCAAGGTGACGTGGTGGAGCTCTAGTACGTCCTGCAACGTTTCATTATTTTTCATCCTCTGTGAATGAGCCTTGGTAACGTCAGTAATCAGTTTTTCTCCTTGTCGGCGAATGACGTTGAAGAGAAGCTGCATTTGGTGCTTGATGGCAGTGATGGCTGCGTCAGCGTCCCTATAGGAGGTGTTTGCTGCTGCTAACTGAGTTGCCTCCTCACATTGGTTCATTTTCTGAAGGGCTCGAGTGAGAACTTGCTTAATCCGCTCCTTGTTGGCCACAGCTTTGTCTCTGAGAGGAATGATGCCGTGTCTGTAGTGTTCAGTCGCACTACAGTCTGCGCAGACCACCATATCGTCATCCTCACAGTAATATTTCAGCTCATTTGGAGGATGCTTTTCACAGGTGACAAGGCTTTGTTCAGCCACATCTTTAAGTGCCGCACGTGCAACGTCAGAGGAGCTTGTGTCTGATACCTGTGCCATATCATTCTGAGGCTCACCTTGACCTTGAGATTTCAACAGTTCTAGTGCTTTTCCCAGAACAAAGTTCTTCTTGAACTTATCGAGGCCTTCTTCTGGAAATTTATATTCCTCCCTGCACAAAGGACAGAGAAATGACCGTTTCACTCCTCCTGTTCTCTGGGCGTGGTCACTCAGGCAGAGAAAACAGAAGGTATGGTAGCAGGGAAGCACCCTGGGGTCATCATACTCCTCCAGGCAGATGCTACAGGTTAATATGGTGTCCTTGAAGGCTGTCACTAGTCCTGCTTCAGCTGCCATTTCTTTAAAGTTTATCTTGTAATCTAAAAAGTTTCTTTTTCAGTTTGGGCTAAGTTATCAGTTGAGTATTCATCTCAAGGTTTACAGTCTTGTACATGGATCATTACATATTACTAAGTTGTGAGCGTTTCAGATGTCTCATTAATTCATCCAGTTTCATGACTGGTATTCATGCACTGTACAGGCACATACAATATATGTCCATGCAATCAATATCTCTATAGAAAACACGTTTTTGCTGTTTGGCTATGCCCCACCTTTACATTAGATATGTGTCAGCCTGATGAAATGAACCCAAGTCTTGTGTATCCACAGGTAAATGTGTCAAATTGATCAGCTTTCCCTGTTAACTTGTCCAAAACTAGTTCATAAAAATTGACCTGAATCAATGCTGCACTTCATGCAAATCCTCCTGTGTATTATTGTAAGCAATGGTTGAACGAAGATTGTATATACATGTACCATCAAAGTTGAACATGCACAGAAATAGATTTCCTTTATACTGGTATGTGTAATGAGGCACTATATCTACCTCCCATGTAAGCTGGTGCTGTGGCCATTTTGGACTAGTAGGTCATATAAATTGGTGGTTTTGATTACTCTTTTGTACAGATTTAGGTTACGTAAACAAATGGCTGAGGGGAATCAAAGGTATGGCGGGATAAACTGAGTATATCACCAATAGGAGTGTTTGTTTAAGTACACATGCCGTGGGATTTAATACTTAGATAGATTGTGAGTAGAGCACACACAAACATGATTTTCTCACAGTAATTTAAGTACAGTGTTTTTTAAAGACTTGAAATGAATTCCCCGTATGTTTAAGTCTGTTTAGATATATACAGTTACTGATAGTACCATGCAAGTCTCATATGTCAAGGGAACTTGTCCATCATTTGTAATTTTGGGACGTTGGGTGTTTTAGCAAAAGATGTTAGATGAATATTTAAGAAATAATGTTTAGGTTACATATGTCATGGTTACATGCCATGTGATCTGATTGAGCCTAAATAAGGATCTGCGATTTTTACTACAGTAAATTATTCCCCCACCCCCACCCCCATTGTACCTATATCTTTTTTAATTTTTATCAACTTTCTTTATTTATAAATGAAATAGGAAAGTCAAGTTTTTATGAGAAAATCCACAAATTACTAGTAATTGTGGTTTGTTTGCAACATGATAATGATAACTGTTACAATGATATGGATAGTTTTGGTAATGATAAAAGACTACAGAAGTATATAAAACATAGCATGTTTAGTTTGTAATGATTTTTTTTTTCAGATCTGAAAATCTAAATAGACAAATTCCTGCATAATGTACACCCAGGGTTTCCTAACAGGTGCCCTCTCTGCTGCTGCTGTGTATGCAATATACACTGTGCTGGTGGAGGGCAGTCTCTCAGGGATAAAACAATCATCTAATCATGACGCAGGTAAGGTAATTACTTGGAAATTTTCAAAAATTTGTCTTCACTGTTGCTCCTCTCTTCAGTTACTGAATATCACTCTTCCTTTTTAGTTACTGACCGAAATGCACCTTTGAACTTGACTCACTTTTCAACCCATTTGAAAAAAAATGATTTATTTTGCCGAAATTTGATTTATAAGATATTATTATTTTGAAGAGTTATTTGCACTCCAACATAATCCAGTCTCTCAAGTTATTAGCTTTTTGAACATTTATGCTGCAGTGACTTGAAAAACAACAAAATATTCATCTACAATGCAAATACTGTAATTCCATTTTTTAGCCATTTTAATAGTAACTGGATATCATTTCTTTTAAATTGGTGAAATTTTATTACTGCACCATAGAATTTCACAAGAATGACATCGCTAGTGGTGAAGACATCTTGAAATATGGAGTACCGAACAGAGGGCCTGCCCTGCGATATTACAGAAATCACATCCTGGCTTATGATCAGAGTAAAAGGACTCCAGTCTGGGTGGCTGAACACCTGACCAAAGAAAAACTCCATGGTTTGTACACTTAGACTGGGTTCCCATGCCTAGATCAATCTAACAGGATTGATCCATCTCCAAGGGGTTTCTCACTAAATTGCTTTCAGTTTAAGCGGCTTAGATGTCTGGCACGCCTACTGAAGCTGCAAAAAATGAATTACCCCCTAGCACCTTCAGTAGGCACGACAGGCATTTAATCCTCTTAAGATGATGGCAATTTAGCGAGAATCCCCTTGGAGATAAATCGATCCAAAGTTAGTACAATAGCGTGTGGGAATGGTCCCTTATTGCTTTGTATGTGTGACTAGTTTCAAAAAAAATTTTTTTAACCTACCAGTATGCCAATTTCTGTTTTAACATTATAATTGAATTCAGATTAAAATAAACATTAAAAGTCCTGCTGAGTCTGAAGGAATCAGATATTAGGTTTTAGTCGTCTTGGATATTCTCATTTTTCTCCAAACATCAGCTGTGTCTAAGATAATTCATTATGTTTTGGTATAAAATATATCTTTTTATATATTCCTGGAAACACTGAAAAAAGGAAGGAAAAAGATTGAGCATTTTAGAATGGCTACCCTTCATATGTACAAGTACACTGAAATCTGTTTAAAAAGATTTTAACTGGCGAAAATTTTGAGAAATTGGGTTCTTGAAGTACTATTATTTTGTACCACAAGACTTAGTGTAATTCATATACATATCACTGGTATATTTATTTTTTCAGGCAATGCTGACAGAAGGAAGTCCAAGTTCCGCCCAGATCCTGCCGTGCCTTCAATGTTCAGCTCAGGGAATGGAGACTACTTGGGCAGTGGGTGGTCCAGAGGTCACATGGCACCTGCAGGGGACAATAAGTATGATCAGGTTAGTTTGACCTTATAACACTGATAACTCTTACATGGAGACAAGGATAGGGGTCCTGAAAAGGACACAAACTGTTACCGTAAATTCACAAGGAAGAGTTCAGAAAATTATATCTTAATTATATCACCATGGGCATTGTTCCTGACTTTGTATTCTTGAACCACTATGATAATATCATATGTAAAAAGTGTGGATTTGACCCGAAAACTCCAGGGACAGATCCAGATATATTTTCCGACAGTCTGCCAAATTATCTTTGTTGATCCATTCGTCCAATTTTGATCACCTTCTAACTGAAATATTAGATATTCATAAGTAAACTAGAAAAATTCTGATCGTCTTCCATCCACCCCTGAATTCTGGTAACTCTTACATGAGGACAAGAAAAGGGACCCTGAAAAGGACCTGACACTGACACCGTGAATTCACAAGGAATTTACTGAGAAAATGATATCTGAACAACATGGGGATTGTGTCTGACCTCACTACTATAATGTAGAATTTTAGGTACTTAAAAGGTGAAATATTCTAAAAAGGAAATGTACCTGTTGAATCAGGTGTTACAAATTTCTGAGTATTTACCCCAAAAAATATTCAGTATGACAGGAAACCACTTTCCGCTTTTTACCAAAAGGCTTTACATCTTTCAAGTACTCTCTGAATTATTATTATTTATAATTAATATGTGCAACTAAAGAGGAGAAATTCTGATAAGATAATAATGTACACCATGAATCAAGTAATTTTCTTACATTACAGGAAGCCATGGATGACACGTTTTACCTGACTAACATAGTACCCCAGGATATGGAAAACAATGCCGGTTTCTGGAACCGCTTTGAGATGTTCTGTCGAGATCTGACCAAACAATTCACAGATGTCAGGGTCATCAGTGGACCCCTTGCACTGCCCAACCTAGAGGAGGACGGGAAGAAATATGTGAAATATGAGGTTAGTTATCATCTAGTATTATATAAAGGCATAAAATGCATGATAGGATGCATTCGCAAACAAATTTGATCTACTGACTAACAGATATGCAGATCAAATTTGGACGTCCCACTCAAAAGCTTACCAAGTTTATTCTGTATCTGTTAGGGAATTGTGCAGCAAGGTTTCAAGTGGGTGGGCCATATTTGCCCTATGCATTTGTTAGTCTGTGGATCAGCTCGTTCTGAAGGCACCCATAGATCATATTTATTATAGGAGGTTGTTAGACTATGTCCATGACTGAGTACTTTTTCTGGCAGCTGATTGAACCAGCCATTGAGAGATATACCATTATGCAGCAGAGAAAAGAAAAAAGAAATAGGAAATAATACCAACCCAAAAGAATTGAGAAAATTAGATTCTATTTACCCAATTTTTTGGGGGGCTCTTTAATTTCTAATCTTTACTGTCACAGGTGAGATTCACTGGTTAAGTTCATCTCCATTTGGAGTGGTTCTAAAATTGGGAACTTTGTACTCATTGGGGTTTCTCTGATGTATAATAATTTTAACAATTATTATTATTATTATTATTATTATTATTATTATTATTATACATCAGGTAATTGGAGACAGCATGGTACCTGTACCCACTCATCTCTTCAAAGTCATCCTCACAGAAAACGCAGAAACGGATCAACATTCCCAATTCTTGGGAGCATTCATAGTACCCAACGTCCCCATTTCCTCGGAACACAAGCTCCAGAAATTCCAGGTCCCTTTGGAAGACCTGGAGAGGGTTGCTGGGGTGACATTTTTCGATAAGTTGGACAAAGGTCAAGTGCAGGATTTGTGCAGTAGTGACCGCTGTCAGTTAATTCCGCAGAAACACTTTGAGATGCATTTCATTGGAAGACGCATGGAGAATGCTAAGACTGTGGAGGAGTTGGAAAATATTTGGAATGAGATGAAAAATAAGAAATCAAAACCCACAAAAGACATTAAAAACTTGTATGAAGAGAGGAAGGAAGAATTAATGCCAGACAGAATGCGAGCTGAACTAAAATGAATTATGCTTTTTTATCCCTTTTTTACCTTTATATTCATTTTATGGTCATAAAATGATCGTAAGTCATATTGATTGAATTACGAGCTGAACTTTGATGAATTATGCTTTTTTATCCCTTTTTTACCTTTATAGTAATTTTTTGATAATGAGACAAATTGGCTGAAAAGTTAAGCAGTGGCAAGGTATGATTTCATGCACTTTTTTTCTCATCATCATTTTTGAGAAATTTTGTTGCTGTGATCATGAAATGTAGATTCCTCTTGTTATTCTAGTCACATGTATGGAGGCTCAGAGTCTAAGGAACTCCAACTTCTTTATCTACATCCTATTTATATTTTTATATGCTTCATTTCTAAAAAATTATAAAAATTGAATAATCTGGCCCTATCTGCCTTTATAAAAGAAATTCATTGAACTTTTCAAACATTGTTGAATTTTATGGTCAGGTAAGTGTTGGAGTTTTTCTAACAAATCAGTTACTACTACCAGTAAAGGTTAAGTTTTTTCAGAATGGTTCAACGTATCACCGCACTGGATAATTTTCTCTCGGAATTTTTAGAAATGCGTTTATAATCAACTTAATACATTTAGCTCAGTACATTTGACATTCAGTTATGAGTCAAAGGTATATTGTAGTAACCTTAAATCTAGGCAACATAGATATTGACAGCTGAGGTGATTGATAACGTACCTGGTGTAACACCGCAGGAAAATCTGTATAAAAGGAATTGGTCCCCAAACTAAGGTTGATAATTTAATGGCATTGTAATGTTTACAGCCTAATTAGATGTGGATCTCTTTGTACAGCTAATGTGATGAGTTTGTGGTCTGCAATAAATCACAGAGAGAGCGGATCGAGAAGAAAAGTTTACTGAGAATATTTCGTTTTTAAAACTGGACCAGAATAAGTCTGAAAATAATTTCATCAGTTGTGTTATGCTTGACGATGGTAGTGGTGTTTGTTGTACTTGTTACGCGAGGTAGAAATTACAAGACTTTCTGTTCTTTCTTACTCTTGATTTACTGGTAGACAAGAAACTGACTCTGAGTCATGCCAGTGACACACACATTTGGAAAAAATATTTGCATTAATATTTTATATTGCTTTTAAACTACTGTTGATTTCTTTTCTTATGGGTTGGTGATATGCCGTAAAGTCCTGGACAGAAAGAAATCATATGAGACTCAGTGCTACAAAAACAACATCTATGACAGTAAAAGTTAACTTGATTTGTGCCTGAATTTTAATCACCGTTGATATTAGAGGGAGTTGTGTCAGCGAAATTTGTGGTGTTGTCATCAAAAAAAGACCTAAAATGGTCTGCACATGTTGAATATATCTATAAAAAGCACGCATACGGTTGCGTTATTTGCGCCAACTTGAACGTGCAAAACTGCCCTTGTCAGATCTTGTTCATGTGGATCAGTTTAATTCGCTGTGCTGTTAATATGCATGTCCTGTGTGGTACCCCCGGGTAAACTAGTGAGACGTGCAATATAACAGAAACTATTTATTCGAGGGCACTCAGAATTACATGTATATTTATTAGAATTAAATTCTGTTTTATCTTCTGTTGATGCCCTGGTAAAAGCACGCCTTGTCACTTTAGAAAACCGAGGCATAGAACTATGAAAACCTTTCATCGAGAAAATAAAAGAACGACAAGGACAAGCTAAGTTACCCCTTAATATCCAGAACATACAGAAAGTTAAGACACAACCAATCTAACTTCAATGTACCTTAATTCAAAACTGAACGTTTCCGAAACACTTTTATACCTTTTCCTCTATCTTACTTTCGGAGGTCAGTGTTTTATGTGGAACTCAATTTGGTGTTAACGTAAATCCTTCATTTTATGTAAATATTTAATTTTATGATTTTTATTCGAGCTTGTCTGTACAACTTCGACCTTTTGTTGCAATGTTTCAAATAAACTTATTATTATCATACTTATTACTAAAGCAGCAAGAATAGTGGGGCAAATGTTATGCAAGATAAGTGAGCCACTGTTTTATTTTATTTTATTTGAAGTGGCCCATGTCGTTAAATTAGCGTAATCATAGCAATTATTCCATCGACTACCGACGGACATATTTATCAAACAAACTCCTTTTGCACTTTTTTCATTTTTGACAGAAGCAGGTAATCATAGAATGGTTGACAGCCGTTGTTGTGACGGGGGCGTCTCTTGTTGTCATCTGTCGCGTGCCTCTCCCTTTCTAACCCCAATGGAAGGAATTGCCCATTGATGGATTCGTGTTGTTTTGGTAGACCATCTATTTGTTGCTCTTGGTAATGCGAGGCGTTGTGGCCGCCTTCTGGTATTACTTAAATCAAATTTACTTTTTGTTTTTTTCCCGACGCCCTCCCTCCCTCCCTCTCTCTCTCTCTCTCTCTCAGTAAGCAATGAATATTACTGCTACTATCACTCGTTGACAATACAATATTTGTATTCCCTCTCTCTAAATTCATTTATTTTCACTTGCATACCCACTCTCCTTTTGGTACCCATATGGGTTTCCTTGGATGTTTTTGTCCTTTTAACTTTATATTTTGACATCTTCATTTATATCCAATCAAATATCAATTCAAAGCCAAGCTTAACATACGAGGCCCACGTGCATATTAGTCTAAGTAGCCTAACAATGGAACGGTAAATTATTGACGACCCTGTACTCAATAATGTGACGGCTAATTTCCACCTGAAGGGAGTGCCCACGAAACCCCGTTAGCGCAATAAATAGAAACAATGCAACAGAGAAAAATCAATCTCTGAATCAAAAGCAGAAGCAATTTAGTACGATTATTGGTCGTGTCTTCGACTTCGGTAACGCTTTCGCATGGGCCCAAGTGGGATTCTATGGTTTTCCGAAGTGAATTTTAATGGGGGATTTTAGCTGGTCTCTATAACATTACTGAGAAGAATTTTCTTCATCATTGTCCACTACCAAATAGTCGATTCTCTGTTGGTATCTATGTTCTCGATGGGGAGAAGTTGACAAAAAATAATGAAATGAATAAAACCGGGCGGTATAAATAAATAAATGGTCACAATTTTCCGGACAACGAGTTAGAAGAAACCATGCATTCAGGCCTCCCTACCTGATGTCAGTAACTCTGTTCATAGAAAGATTCTGCTGTCCGCCTTCTTGAAGATTCAGCGTCCAACAAGGGTGTGGCAAGTTGAATAAGCTCAATACTCGTCGATTCTTTTCAGGAGAAAAAAATGTGCGGGCGTACTTAGATTGCGTTATTTTCCATGCAGCTGTGCAATTTCTTTTGCCCGTGGTTACTATTTTAACCATTACTTTGCAAGATAATGTTTTTGTAAGCAATTTTAACTGTGTTTTTTCATCAACGCGTTTCATGCGGAGGTGACGTCCACACGGTTCATCTTAACCCTAGAAAGTTTTAAACCTTACCCACCTAGGATATATAGTAGGCCTTACCCCTATCAATGGTAAAACCTGCACGTTTGCGAGCCAGAATCATCAATATAATAACTTTCATAGCAGATTGAATGATGCGAATTTACAGACAGCTTCAAGAGTCATCAGATCCCTACCCCTATGTCAGTGCAATGAGCCGTGGTGTTTTTGCACTTTGGTATTTCACGTTGCTACCTGCTGAGCCTGAATGGTTCAAACTGACATTGACTCACTGTCTGTTTGACATCATCATCATCATCGAATTGATGTTTTCCTGTAAATTGTTTGCGGCATTCGTGATTCTGTTATCCGTGATTCCATATACAAAAATAGGCCTACACTTTCATTTCTTTTACGCTTGAAAGTTTAAAAAATGAGCAAATTCCTCTAGACCAGTGATTTTTTTTTTATTTTCTTTTTTCTTTTTAGACAAGATGAAAGAAAAAGCCTTGGAATGATTTCGAGTTCCACAGCAATAAGATCCGTTTTAGATGTCAACATTTGGCCTACAGGTGTCCGCTATCCTTAAATGTATTTTAGTTTGGTGTGGGCCTGTTACCTGACACCCAAAGTATGTTATTGTTTGTATAGGCCTACGACATACACGACTACTTGTTAGTATTTCTACTTTGTGTATTTATAATTTTTAGCGAAACATTTTTATCTCCGCGAGAATTTGGAATAATAAGCAAACATATGCAAACATTTTTGGTATGTACATGTATACCAACCAAAAATCTGTCACATTTTATTGTTAAATCTAATTGGACAAGGGAAGGAACAAAAATTCCGAAACACTGCCCTTGGATGTGATTTGTAAAGGGACCTACAAAAGTTCTCTCTAATTCACGTTTAATTCTCTTTACATCTTTTTAAGTGTACTCGAGACGCAATTCCTTCTGGTACAGATAAATACTTCCGTGGAATACCTATTTAAAATTCGCTTTCAGTGGTTATAGAAACGGGCTTTAAACCGATCGAAGCGTAGGCATGAACGCTTTTTGACGCCATTTTATTGTGGGAAGGTACTACGCATGGGGGCACGTTCACTATGCACAGCTTTGATCCTCCCTGACTCGATCCGAATGACGTAAGGCTTTACTTTTTTTTTTTTTTTTTTTTTTTGCAATAAAACTGCTAGGCGTATGGTATTTTGTTCAAAATAGTTACTTTAAACTGATAGAACGTGGGTTGTCAAGTCACTCGTTACTGGGAATTTTCGAACTAAGAACAGCGTCATTAAGATCGCAACAATAGCGATTTTATTATTCAATCGTGAACTTGCCCGCGGCAAAAAATGGAGGCTTTCTCCAGCTAATTGATTCCATTAAAAGAGACGTGATTAGTTATAAGTGACTGAACAAATTGTCATTTTCTGGCGCAGATATATGTCAATATAAACAGAAGTCGACAAAGTCCCTTTGATATGCATATTTGAACAATTAAGAGATTAAAACACCGTCTGAAATCGGAAGTGATAAATGGAGAACCACATCCCACTTTGTCACATACACGCCGTAATTCCATCGCGGTAATTGACCCACCCCTTATCTATGTACGTCGTCGATCTTTCCAGTCATTCTCTGATCTCGTTCGCCCTCTGACTAAAGCTATAAGAAGACCCAGGTGAAAAGGAGAGCTCATAGCCAAAAAGGATATTAACTTAGTTTGGAGGCTGAAGGAGAAAGTCCGTTGAGCTGTAGCATTATCTTGTCTTGTGTGGAGATTTTTTGAATATTTCCGTTACTACAAAAGGACAATATGGAGCCGTTGAAGAGAGACTTGATTTCACTCAGAGTGGTATTCGTGTTGGGAGTACTTCTAGCAGTTACAGGTGAGATAATTTTTTAAAAATTCGTAGACTTTTTAAAAATAAATATTATTTTCTAGTGATTTTACATTAGGATGATCATTATTTTGCCCTAATGCTAGATGACGATTTACTACGCTATCCTCTTCCTTTTTCATACAAAACCAATTGACTTTAAATCTGATTTAATATGAAAAAAAAGCATGATTTTCGGTTCTGATTTTTCATTATGAGTGAGATTTTGTTAAACAATTCAATATGCACGATGAAGTTATTTTTTCCTTGTTTATTTGTTTCTTTTAAATCATTATTAATGATAATATTATTATAACGGGGTTTTCTTACTTCGCTTAATAAAATAAATCAACAAGTCATTTGTTCTCTCTGAGTCTCATGCATTGATCGTTTATACATGCATTTATTAAATATATTCAATATATATTTAATAAATGCACATATGAATGATCAATACATCCACACAACAGAAAGTATGGCCAGAAGATAATACATTTCAAACAATTCGTCAGAAACATCTTTTCCTTGTATCTGAGATATAGCTTTTTGATTATCTGTTAAAATTCGAACTCATCTGTCTGTGACCTTAATAAAAGTTTACAAAAATCAAATTTAGAACTAATTTACTATACATTATTGTTAGATTCCATCTATTTGTTATCCATCATTTTTTTAGTTTATTCAATCATACCAGATATATATATATATATATATATATATATATATATATATATATATATATATATATATATATATATATATATATATATATCTTTATATTCTTAAACACGAAACCCGCTATTTGTCTTGCAATATGAAGAGCGGTCGTACGTGTTTAGCGAACATTTCGAATTATATTGGCATATTTTAGAGTATTAGACGGCCTATGCGTCTGAAAAGTACACGAAACCTTTTTAAATGTATATTCGCATCTGCTACCCCCCCCCCCAAAAAAAAAAAATTGATAGAGAGAGCTTTAATGAAAGTTTTAAGTAGACATGGCCATCAAAATTTTACCTCTCTCAGCCGTCGCCCTAATTCAAATGCCCTCTTATAATAAAATATAGAATATACAGTTGAACGACACTGCCAATGTGAGCCCCAGTAGAGATTTCTTGGCTGTGGAAATCGTACAATGTCTCAATAACATTTAAGTCATCCCGGTAATGGGGAAAATTAGATTTATTATAGATTAGACGTACTCCGGAGACACTTAATTATACGGTTGACTCCCAGTGAGTTTTTTTATTAGAATAGAACTGTGCTTGGTGCTCTCTTTTGACTGCCATACAAGATATACAGTCTTAACCGCTTTCCTACGCTTGTTTTATTCATTTATTTATTTATTTTTTATTTTTTTTTTAAATTTCAAAACGGTGAATCGGAAAACAACATTAGGTAATAAGATTTAAGGAATCTCAAAAAAGCATTCGCTGTGCATACGATATGCATATGAAAGCGGATATTTCTATAACATCATCAAAATGATGCTAATAATAATTTACAGGTATGTCTCGGAAAATGCAGCAAAGATGTATCAACGTATATGAAAAATTCCTTTTTGAATATTCTTTTCTCGATTTTGCATATACCCTTTTTGATATTATTGCATTTGGATATTTTTGGTTTTTAATTTTAGAATATGACATAAGAATTTGAATATGAAAAAGTAATTTGCAAAAAACACACACACACACACACACACACGCACACACGCACTAAGACAGAAATATAAAGGAAAGAAAAAGTTAGGCCACTTGTAACAACAGTGCCCGATATAATATGTTTGCAGGGAAATATACCAACGAAAATTTATAATTCAGCTCACATCAAATTATTCCATCCCCTTCTCCTGTATTCTAATAGGGCCTGAAGAAATGAACACTACCATATTAATCTTAAAAATCACAAAAACAGGTAAAGTGTTCAAAAAATTATATCCAATAAGCCTTCATATCAAATTTATATTAAAAAAGAAGTCAGAGTTTTGGGAGGTCTTAGCTTTTATTAGATTGCCATCAGGCAAGGTTGGCATGAGTCCTCTGACAGATAGGATGGCAAGTTTTAGCATTGCAGAATTCGTACCATATTTCAGTAGAACTCTGGGGTCGCTATGGTGCACATTTGACCACATATCTCCTTCTAAATGAACCTAACGCAGCCGACTCAGCATTTAATAATCGGAATCCCCAATGAGTCTTTATGGCGGGGAGTAAATCGACAAATCTGGTTCGTTAGCACAGATTTCCCTCGAGAGACACTCCATAGGCCTGCCATGCCATCTGCTGCCGAGTCACTGACGTGGATAATTTGAAATTAAACTACCCATACAGTGTCAATCGTTTAGAACTCGAGCATGCTCTTCCGGCAGGCGTCTGTAAGTTTAACTTGCACTTTGCCAAAGAGGAAGATATTAACACGTCAGCGCCTTTAGGACAACATTCGAGAAACTCGGCTAATGCGAGTATAATAAACATATCCCCCTGAGATAAAAGGGGTGAAATGAATGGAAACGATAGAAGGGGAGTGACAACACTGAGCTAAAAGAAAGTGAACATTTTCTGATCGTGTGTAAATTGCTATGGGGTGGGAGTTTAAGAAAGGGAAGTTTTATTTATTTATTTATTTATCTTTTAAGTTTCTTTAACTTGGCCTAATGTGCATCCTCTGATTGTTTCTATTACAGCAAGCAGTAAAAAACGCCTTTTTTTCGGTAAAAGTCACGTTATTCTCTGAACAACATGAACTACATAAAACTATGTAAATAATGTCTTTTTTATTTGCAGCGTGGGCCTCCAGTTTACCATTGTCTGAATACAGCGAGGGGCAAGGTCCAGTGGACAACAGCGACATCTATGTATCGTTACCAGGGAATTACCGCGACAATGATGTGCCACGTGTGCGGGACATTCTGCCGCCTTTTGTTTTGGCTCGTTTGAACCAGAGGAGACCTAGTAATGCTGGTGGCTTTGCAGAGTACTTGAGGAAAAGAAAGTGTCAGCCTGAATTCTTCTCTGGGACGAGCAGATGTTAAGTTAGTAAATATCGTTTTTTAAAAAATGACTTTTCGAAGATGTCGCAGCTTTTGCAACGGCGATACCACATGGCCAATTTTGCCTTCTGTTTCTTGAAACATGCCTTATAAATATACAATGATGCCACCTACATTCAGAACTGCACGACTGGTCCAGAAAGGACACTAGTGGTGTTGCCATTTTGCTATGTTCTTGCAAACAGCATATAGAGCATCCCAGAAGTACAGATGTGAACTTGCCTTTGCTGTATTTCATTTTCTGTATTTGCATTCTGTGTTTGTATTTTGATTATTTGTTTCGGACGCAAAAACATACGAAGATGTACATAACATTAAAAGGCGAGATATTTCAGTACTGCGGGCTTGACTAACCATGAGACAAGAAGCTCTGACATCTAAGCCAACAAATGGAAACTGCTTCCCAGACAAGAATAAAAAAGAAAAAAAAACAAGGTTGATATAATTTAAAAATTACTTACAGTTGTCTTTGAAAGTAAAATATTAGATTTATAGCATTGTGCTATCTTAAGTCACATTAAATGCACGCACGCTGACAATGATTTTTACTGCATGATTTAGAGTCTCTACAGGACTGTCAGTGTGGATAATTATTGTAATTTGGTAACCAAACACACGATAGCCCTTTTAACCAGCTCTTTTGAGCTATACTGCATCTCAAGGTCTTTTTAAACAAATTTTATCTGTGTTGGATTTTATATCCGTAGGTATCTAGAGTTCACTCCGTATCGNGATTTTGAATTTTAGAATATGACATAAGAATTTGAATATGAAATAGTAATTTGCAAAACAAACACACACACACACACACACACACACACACACACACACACGCACTAAGACAGAAATATAAAGGAAAGAAAAAGTTAGGCCACTTGTAACAACAGTGCCCGATATAATATGTTTGCAGGGAAATATACCAACGAAAATTTATAATTCAGCTCACATCAAATTATTCCATCCCCTTCTCCTGTATTCTAATAGGGCCTGAAGAAATGAACACTACCATATTAATCTTAAAAATCACAAAAACAGGTAAAGTGTTCAAAAAATTATATCCAATAAGCCTTCATATCAAATTTATATTAAAAAAGAAGTCAGAGTTTTGGGAGGTCTTAGCTTTTAATAGATTGCCATCAGGCAAGGTTGGCACGAGTCCTCTGACATATAGGACGGCTGATTCAGAACTCCCGAAGCGTTTGCGTGGGTGTTTCGATATTGGTTAAGTTCTAGCATTGCAAAATGCGTACCATATTTCAGTAGAACTCTGGGGTCGCTATGGTGCACATTTGACCACGTATCTCCTTCTAAATGAACCTAACGCAGCCGACTCAGCATTTAATAATCGGAATCCCCAGTGAGTCTTTATGGCGGGGAGTAAATCGACAAATCTGGTTCGTTAGCACAGATTTCCCTCGAGAGACACTCCATAGGCCTGCCATGCCATCTGCTGCCGAGTCACTGACGTGGATAATTTGAAATTAAACTACCCATACAGTGTCAATCGTTTAGAACTCGAGCATGCTCTTCCGGCAGGCGTCTGTAAGTTAAACTTGCACTTTGCCAAAGAGGAAGATATTAACACATCAGCGCCTTTAGGACAACATTCGAGAAACTGGGCTAATGCGAGTATAATAAACATATCCCCCTGAGATAAAAGGGGTGAAATGAATGGAAACGATAGAAGGGGAGTGACAACACTGAGCTAAAAGAAAGTGAAAATTTTCTGATCGTGTGTAAATTTCTATGGGGTGGGAGTTTAAGAAAGGGAAGTTTTATTTATTTATTTATTTATCTTTTAGGTTTCTTTAACTTGGCCTTATGTGCATCATCTGATTGTTTCTATTACAGCAAGCAGTAAAAAACGCTTTTTTTTCGGTAAAAGTCACGTTATTCTCTGAACAACATGAACTACATAAAACTTTGTAAACAATGTCTTTTTTATTTGCAGCGTGGGCCTCCAGTTTACCATTGCCTGAATACAGCGAGGGGCAAGGTCCAGTGGACAACAGCGACATCTATGTATCGTTACCAGGGAATTACCGCGACAATGACGTGCCACGTGTGCGGGACATTCTGCCGTCTTTTGTTTTGGCGCGTTTGAACCAGAGGAGACCTAGTAATGCTGGTGGCTTTGCCGAGTACCTGAGGAAAAGAAAATGTCAGCCTGAATTCTTCTCTGGGACGAGCAGATGTTAAGTTAGTAAATATCGTTTTTAAAAAATGACTTTTCGAAGATGTCGCAGCTTTTGCAACGGCGATACCACATGGCCAATTTTGCCTAGATCTGTTTCTTTAAACATGCCTTATAAATATACAATGATGCCACCTACATTCAGAACTGCACGACTGGTCCAGAAAGGACACTACGTGGAGTTGCCTTTTTGCTATGTTCTTGCAAACAGCATATAGAGCATCCCAGATGTACAAATGTGAATTTGCCATTGCTGTATTTCATTTTCTGTATTTGCATTCTGTGTTTGTATTTTTGATTATTTGTTTCGGACGCAAAAACATACGAAGATGTACATAACATTAAAAGGCGAGATATTTCAGTACTGCGGGCTTGACTAACTGTACCCATGAGACAAGAAGCTCTGACATCTAAGCCAACCAAATGGAAACTGCTTCCCAGACAAGAATAAAAAAGAAAAAAAAACAAGGTTGAAATAATTTTAAAAATTACTTACAGTTGTCTTTGAAAGTAAAATATTAGATTTATAGCATTGTGCTATCTTAAGTCACATTAAATGCACGCACGCTGACAATGATTTTTACTGCATGATTAAGAGTCTCTACAGGACTGTCAGTGTGGATAATTATTGTAATTTGGTAACCAAACCTACGATAGCCCTTTTAACCGGCTTTTTGAGCTATGCTGCATCTTAAGGTCTTTTTAAACAAATATTATCTGTGTTGGATTCTACATCCTTGGGTACCTAGAGTTTACTCCGAATTGATCTAGTTGTGCGGATTTTAAACCTCCTGTGATTTTCATTCATAAAATTTTGTACATACGAACAGATACGATTTTAATCATCGATTTTTGCCCTGCTAGATGCGGAAAAATCCGTTGCATACCACCTACATCCTCAACAAAATACAATGAAACGAGCCCCTGTGAAACAAATACTGGTAAATAAAAAAAAAATCAATGTATCTCATAAGACAGATGGAAGACAAGGAATTGATTGGCTGTTGTGTTTCTGGTTGGTTTCTTCTCCGCTGCAACTTGCTTGAACAACTAACGCAATGGCTACTTGGTCCTTATCTAATGCAATCTGAATTCTGGTGGCTGTTGAGCAATCGAATGTAACTGTGTATTCTTTGTGAAGGCATTGAGCATTGTTGTTCTCTGGCAGTTCCAGTCAACCAGGAAGTCCTTTCTCTGCCGTTTATGCCACTTGATAACTCATAAGCAATCACGTAAAGATTCAAAATTCTGTTAATGCATTGGAACATGTTAGTTACGAGAAAAAGCCCAGGTGACTGGGAAAGGGCATTGGGTTTAATATATCCCCGTGCTCTTTTTCCTTTTCGGGATGAGAGTGGATAAGGCACGGTTGGTGTGGATCTGTAGAAAACTTCAGTTACCAAATTCTTAAAGGAGCTCTCTATCTATCCTTCGCTTGCTCTCTCTCTCTCTCTCTCTCTCTCTCTCACACACACACACACACACACACACACACACATATACATACACACACGGGCAGAAATCAATATAATATAAAAATGATGTTGGTGCCTAATATCAAGGATTTTTCACATTATGCAGAATCTCTATTGAAACATTGCTTTTTTTTTAAATACAGTTTGTTTTATTCACAGTTGTACTTGTGCATTATCATGCATATTTTCTATCACATTTGAATGACTGCGCCCATGCACGTGAGCGAAATCGTGCTCGTGCGCACGTGGGCATAAGTTCTCTGCCAGTATCTTGGAAAAGATTCTATGCGCCACGCAGCCAACCATGACACGAGGGGCCTGTTTCACAAAATTACTTAAGCCCGAAAACTGGTTTAAACTTTAAGACCAAACTTATAGTCAACTTTTATACCCAAGATATATCCGTAGTGGGACAATGAAACAGAATATGATGGCTGCTTAATAACAGTTAAGAAAGTCACAGTCGTTGGTTCAGATCAGTACTACTTTCATCAACTGGTCCATTATGCATTAAGGTTGAACAGAAATACACCAAAAATTTGGTTTAAAGGCTTACACCAATTCTATGACTAAAACCAGCTACCCCTGGCGTAAAACACATTTCCACAACTTACCGTGGCATTTGTGAGAGCGAACGACCCACCCAATCAACCTGATAGCCCATTCATCATTTATGGGCATGGCTCTCTATTTTCTACGTGTCAAATTGCAATTAGGTCCAATTACTGCGGTAACCAAGGCGCGTGATATTGTTGTTAACTCGATGTGGACCCTTCACGGTCGGTTTAATTCTATTATGATCTTTCACATTAAAAAATGTCGTGAAGAAAGGTCACAAAGGTCATTTTATGTCTCTACTTTCTATTAGATAATTTAAACGGGGTAGGAAAAACTTAGGTTCCATCTAAAACTTATCATCAAAAATTCTTCATATACTGTCTACTTAGATACCCACGTTTTCGAGAGTATTCTTATTTAATATGTGTATAATTTTGGTCAAGATTTGTGTTCTTTACCATTCTGGTATGTTTCATTATGTGTGGCACTCTCAGCTAAATACACGTATTATAATTGATTTATGAGAAAGTCCCGTTCTTTATATTATTGGATTTTGAAATACCACTCTGAAAAAAGCGATTATGGAGTATTTAGAAAAGCTGCTTTAATGTTTCAGGCACCATGTGCGAACTTGTACATTTTTTCGGAATAAATATATACCGAATCAGCAATATTTCTACGTATTTCAACTCACCTATTTATCTTTGAGGTGACGCAGCAACCGTTAAATAAAATGAGTTCTGAGGGTTATTTAACCAGTCCTTATTCAAGAAATGGCCATTTGTGAAAAAGAAAGCCCAAATTAACGATTCGAGACGGGAGGGGGGGGGGGGATCAAATTCACAGTGCGAGCGATTATTAAGCATAAAGCAACATTAAGAGTTCTCTGTGGTCAAAATGTAAATCTTTCGAACTTACCAAACCGATGCTCAATGTATTTTTTTCATGCGAATCAAACAGGTCCGAAAAAAATCAATTTTCCTAAAAAAATGTTAAGCATTAATCAGTCCCTAAATACCTGTTTAGCCTAAAAGCAAAATGTTTCATGTGTCATCAAGTTCAAAACAAGAAATTTTTTACAACATTCCATACAATAGAAATAGGATTGCATGGTCATAATATCGAGAGGCACTGTCACATAAACGAAATAGCGGTTGTCAATAAATAAAAGATCTCCTATCAATCCGACGCGCGGAATAACACAACCACAACCCTGATCACATTAAACTGTCCTAAACACGCAGAAAAATACCAATTTAGGACAAAAGATCTAGTTGGGATATGAATCCTCGCGGTAAAAGACCCCAGGGGAACAAAACGCTCTCGATTCGAATTCCATTAACTAAATTGCCTGCCTGCCCGCACCCGAGAAAAGTGATGACAGAATTGCGGCGAAACAATTATTATCGTTAAAATATTGATGAAACACTATTTGCGATGGTTCCGTGCTATAGATCAGGGCTGTCAATTAAGTATTAGGCGTTAAGAGATAAAAAGATGATTACTAAGTAATGGGGATGAGCAGGGAAATACGGAGTGGCAAAAGTTTGTAATCGCTTGTTGATACGTATGTGGTTTTCATATCTATTTATCCCATTTGTCTATCTATCTGTTCTCTGTCGGTCTATCTGCTTGCCTAACTGTCTCTCCACAACAACAACCTAAATATTGGGTGCACCATGGACACAATTATCTATAATTTAGTTGTACAGAAATTCGTAATGAACCGAATTAGGTATCTGTCCTTCCTTTTTCCACTGAATCCCACCGCCGAGGATGTTCATCTACAGATAATGGGGTGGCTTCCTTTGCCAATTGTTCTCTCAAGAAAGGAGATCGTCCTGCCAATCTACTGATACACATAAGCTTTCTTTCTCGTCGTATTTAAGAAATATGGAATTGTCCGACTGAGGCTTCAGTCCGCTTCATATCCTTCTCCGCGGTTTGATAAGAAAGAAAGCTATTTCCCAAAGCTAAGCATGATCTTTAGCCTCTGTGCATGTGTTCACTAAGGTCACCCCAGTGTTTAACATTCCCAAGTACAGATTCATTAATTCATGGTTTCTTTGCTGTACCTGGTAAGTTATTATAAATCATATATCATAAATAAAAATGCGATGGTACATGATAAATTTATTATCTTAAATATAACAAAATGGATAGACAGTGAGCTACATGAAATCTCCATTCCTCGGTTATTGTCCAAAGGTCAGTATCAAAGAGAACCCAGTTTGAAATGTCGTCTACAACATCTGAAGCTGGTTTGCACAAGGAGTTATAACTCCTTGGTTTGCATAAGCTTGCATTGAAGACCTTGAAAAAATGCTGTCACGAAGTGATTAGAAGGCTTTAATTTCGCAGGAAAAATAAATAGGCGAATCCGAAATTTATGTCTACAATTAGAAATGCAATATTAAGTATTCATCGATTTCTACACACATCAAAAAGAACAAATGTGTTGTGATTTAAAGGGATCATTACGGAATAAAGCCAGACATTAATTTAAATGTCAATTTAAGTGTAAAAACATTCAAAATGAAGGCATACTCGCGATGTTGCAATTACCAAAACGATAGCTAGCTGTAACGGAGAGGAGTAATGAATCAACGGTCTCTTTCATAATCTGTTGCACATAGATCTCTTCACTACTTTCAAATATTTATGTAAAACGGCTTAGTCATTCAATCATAAACACAATGACAACTTGACCATTAATGGGATCAGCGGGTGAAGAAGAAGAATGGAGGGTGGACAGAATGGGGCGAGGGGATTGAAAGCCTTGACGCTTTTCTGTTTAAATCGGCTGTTTTATAGCCTGTCCTTTTTACTGATCATCAATCCCCCTTTTTTGCCATAATTCAGTTTAAATGTAGTGTAATTCTTGGGAACACCAGGTTATATATAACAAAACGTAAAAGGCATGCGTTATAACGATAGTTTCAGTCCTTGTTTTATTCTTTGGCTTTATCATACATGTATTTTGCGAAGCAGACAACAACACTTGGTAACTACTGCTCCTCAAACATCTTTACCCTTGGTCCATCACGGTCTTTAGAAGGTCCAAATTGAAATGGCGTGTAAAATCGGTACATGTTGTTCCAGCATTGTCAGTTAACCAAACAGTCTATCAAGCATTTAGAACCCGTTCCTAATATATTATGCGTTACGAAATACAGCATGCCTCTATTAGTCTATATGAACACAGTCCAGGACGAGCCGTTTGATGTTTTACAATAATAGCAGCTTCACTTTACCGATACTGTTTGTAAAAAGCCCGACATGGTTTTTGAACAAAATTGTACTTAATTTGCTTAATTGACCCAGGGGTAAGTTTTCGCGTGTAAGAATTTGAATTGTGATTCAATTTACCAATTAATTTGTTACACGATGGGCCTTTTCACAAATTTACCCGTTAGACAGAGTCCATGAATTAAAACGGCGTGTATTCAGTGAATTGTATGGAAAACGTGTAATGGAACCGTCCCATAGGGTGATTAGTTTAAGGCTATAAGACCCTGAACAGGGATGATTTACCTAAAACTGTTCTAAACTGATAACAGGAAGTCGACGGCTTGAACACCCCATTTTAAACATTTCAACCTTTAGTTGTTGTTTGACTCCGATGTTGAATGAAGAAAATAATCAAGTTTGTTGCAGCCAATACATCTGAAATAGCTAGTGACAGCATACATTATAGGCCACAAAGTGCACATAGTTCTCCATGAAGTTAAACCATAAAACTAAAATCTTCTCTAGTCGTGGGAATAAGTATTTGTTAATTTTGGTTAAAGTTAAATTCGGCACGGTTTCTCATCCTCATATCTAAGTTCACAAGCTGGTGCAGGGATGGGCGGTTTCTCATGGCATCTCAAAATCAAAACGAAAAGGTGTACAAAACTACTCTTGTGGGTTGTTTGCCAGATTCTTCTCCACAGTCTACACCCATTCCAAGGGTAATTTTAAGTCGGTTCCAGTTATCAACTGGTAAAAATCATGATTGATACATATTACTGTAATGTTTAGAACCCAATAGCCTTGTTGTTTAGTAGTAAGGGAATGCAGTAGTATCAAATGCATGGTCATTTTTGCCTGATCATTGTCAGGAATAATTAAATTAGAACAGATAAAAGGATGTATTAGACTAAACTAATAATGCCCGTATGTATAATGGAAGAATTCAACCTTTAACAAAAAAAAAAAAAAAACATTGCATTTCATGAAAAAGATCGAAAAAAATTCAGAGCGAAGATTTGGCACTGTTTATCATGTAGTGTAGGTAACTCGTCATAAGGCCAAGTTTTTTCCAAAAATGGGTGAGAAATTTTAAACAAATTTCTTGAAACTACAGCACGTGCTATTTTTAGAAGAGGGGATCTGCGTTCGAAAAGTTAGTGTAATGACGTAGACTCCATATTTAGAAGTCATAAAATATTGCATACATCATGAAATACTGAAAGAGCAAAACGATGTAGTTCCCGTAAGTGACTAACTGTGCAAACGCCTCCCCCGTAGCTGCTTTTATTAGTAATCATGAACCTACTCAAATCACCAAAATAACTATAATGCTAGCCCTCTTGTGACCGGCCATCTCTGTTAGATGTGATGCCCGCTGCGGCACTAAGTATAATCATGCTCAATGTTCTCGAAATCTGCCATTTTATTTGATTGCCACCAGAACTCACTACAGACTCGATGCGTCTTCTCTCCTAGTACAGAACAGCACTCTGTTGTCGTGCCGTTCACGGTAAATTTGCTCTCCATTTACCGTTAAGTAACGCTTTTAGTCCGTGCCAAGAGAGACGCTGGTAACGCGTTTAACTTGAGGAGCAGTCTCAGTGGGATTCAATTAATCTCTGTAGCGCGTCCCAAGTTGCGTTTCGATACCGCGATAACAGATGTTTTGTAGCAGTTTTATTCACACCCTAAATCATGATATATGTTAATATGATAAGATGTGCTATCCTTCACGACCTGTCACGTGGGGATTGAACACGAGTAAGTAATTGCCCCGCCCCCTGCATGGCCACTCATTGGCAGGACACCACGTGGTATAAGTTTGGTTTCCACGTGGTATTGGTGAGTTCGACTTCGGAGCGCCTCCAACAGGTACATTGAGGACGCTTTTAAGCAAACAACCATTGTATCCTAATGTACATGTCTTGGTGGAAACACTCGTCCTGACGTCATACCCATTTCTAAAACATGTCGATCCAGGACCGACTTGGGGTCAAACCTACTTTGCCAGTGTAGACATCTAGAGTGACACGCGTGGTCGATGAGCTGATGCATTGCCCAACGCGAGCTGGTAGTTGCTCAAACACAATAACTAACTTTGTAACTCTAACCATTGTCAAGGTATTCCGGAGACGAGTGTCATCCGGGGGATTATTTTTTTTTCTGGGGACTGATTCTGTGGCGTGTCACATTATCGTTAATTAGAGCTGAGGCGACTAACGAGACACATTAATTGGTATAAAGGAGATACCCCGAGTTGTAACCGACACACACGTAATAAGAGAGAGTGAAAAGAGAGACAGAGAGAGAGAGATAAAGAGGGAGAAACAACCCGTAGCGTGCATTTGATTTCGTAGGTTTTTTCGTAGACCGTGTGAGGAGGTAACGTTTAGAAGGTCACAGTGATATAAAGAAGAACATTTTAAAGGTTTTTAATATGCAGACTTTTAACGCGACATCGTGGAGCATCGGGGTGTGCCTCCTTGCTGTTCTGTACCTCATATATTGTACAGGTAAGTCCTCTGATTTCCCGTATAGTTATGTTATTTATTGTTATATATTGGAGACCAAAAAGGATTTTTCTTAACCAGAAGTGTAAAATCTGTGTACAACCCTTGTTGCATTTTGATTCAATTTGGATTTTATATTCCTGATATTTGATAACTTTTGCATAAGTCAGAATACGAAATTGTCATTTTTCCTTTAGTTACTTGTTCTTATATGTTGTGCGATCATTAGCAGACTGTTAGACCAAATTAGATATATAAGCTGACGCTGCAGTCTTCTAGGTTAACGACGAATTTAACAGGAACGAGTCACTACGATGAACAATGTCATTACGCAAGTAAGCATTGTTAATTTTCTTCGCTCGAAAGCAGAAATCAGAAATACTAATGCTTCCTCTTAAAAAGAATGCATCGACTTTCAAAGACGAATCATTTTCGATACAGATCTGCTACATAATCTTACAACATATTTCACGGAATAAAACTAATGTCATTGGTCAACACCAAACACGTTTTATTTGAAATGACGTGCTGATTCTGCTTTGAAAAGAAAAACATCCTTGGGTCGAAGTTAGATAGCGGGAAAAGGACAGAAAATTAAAGATCTAGAATCAGATGTGATTATATAAACTATATGGCATTTTAAGGAGAACAACCAAACGTAACCAGGCCTGTGAATAATATCAGAGACCCGTTTCACAAATGCACTTTAATCTGCAAATTAGTGCAAAAGTTTAGACTCCATTTTTAGTCCACTTTGATTCAAGATAAATCAGTAGTATAGTGTCCCAACTGAGGAATCACGGCGCCCGTTTTATTACAAGAAAGACAAGGGTAATGTTTGTTAACGTCACCCTCTTTATTCAAGTGGGTTTTCCTAAACTGAAATGTCTCAATTTGAATTTAAATGAAGAGCAATTTAAAACCAACTATTCTTTTGTGACATTAACCACAGGAAACAACGACGCCGAAAACAGCTCACAAAAAGGACACCGTCATCGTTGAAACATTTTCGAGCATGTTCTGTGTTTTATCAGCACTTTCGTTGACATTCACGCCACACAGTGAACCCAAGCCTAATCTATTACGTCACAAAACATTTCAAGTAATAAATCCAATATGAATGCATCAAGATAGTCGTGGGCGGACTTTAAAGATGACCACTTATGGGCAAATATGAGTTAGGTACTTGCCAATAACGTCCACCTTATCCCACATACAAGAGCAAATTATATCCCGGCTGCTCATCAATAAAATACCGCTCTTGTTGTAACGAGTACTTATTGACCAGGAGGGTATTTGGGTTTGGTTGGGTGCATCTCACTATACATGATTGTTTCCCACGCACAGGCTGGGTGGAGCACTTTCTTTAATTGTCACGAGGGTAGTAAGTCTCCGTAACACAGCATGCACTACCTATTAGCGCGTGTGCATAGTATTAATGCATAGTACATCATATTTGCGCATACCCTCTGAGTAATTGCCTTTTCAACGCTCAATTATATGACGTTATTAATTGTTCAGATGTTCGATATTTCCATTTTGATTTTATAGTGTTTAGTAAATAGGGTTTCGTCATTTAAGAACCAAACTCGCCAAGCAGTTGCACGTTAAGAAGTAGACGCGAAGTCGTCTCTATCAAATCCTTGCAGACGGCGATCTTTGATCCCACAGTTGGTAATTTGTTATCCGACTATCCCAGAAGAAAAGTTCTTCAAAGCTTTCTAAATCAAGTCGGCTTTGCGATTTCGCCAGCATTCGTGGACCATAACAATTCATGGTATTCCTGGTGGATTTCCTGCACTTACTAACCGGCTTGATAATTATAATGAATACGTTTGCTCTTGACATCAACGCTTCAAGTCATGAAGCTAACGAGCAGGAATTATGGAATGACCATATCATAACTTCAAGGTCAAGGAAGATAAAATCAGCTCTCTGTGTATAAGGCATTGAATTGAAGTTGCCTCTTGCAGGTCTTGAAAGTACCAAAATACATTCATTTTTTAAAAGGACATACATGTCACAAGTGTTGTACATGGGGTGTGTAGTAAGGCCTATGTCATCTTCGGTCCTTCTCATTGCTAAGCATATTAAATGTGGTATGCTGGTGGTCTCTTCAAAGCTTTTTGCAGAAATAAAATATTATCGCTTTAACAAATTTCTTTTAGAAACATATAATTTTAAAAACGTACTGTGAAATAAAATGGAAGATTTTTCTCAGAAAACGTGTTTAATAAAGCCGCTGGTGGTGAAATCAATCCTAATGTGAAATACTTTAATATACTTTGTAAAGCCCTTTCAAATGTGGGTTTTCTGCAAAGATTTTGAAAAGTTTGAGTTTCACTTATGCAGTTATAGCAGACGGCAAATCATTCATACGAATGGTGATGTTGACTATTGTTATACAGACATTCTTCACTTTTTTGGCGTTTTATAAAAACTTAAAAACCACATGGCGACTGGTTTTGAAAATACCAACCAAACACCACTGATAGAAATGCCACTTTCATCATTTTGTTGTATATTTCCGCGCCACCTCTGATAGAAAAAGAAAGGAGGAACATACGAAAATTAATCAATCAAATATAAATAATAGAATTACAATATAAATTATAAAATATAAATAATAAATAAGTGTTTTGCGCATGCCCTACCTTGGCATCTGCCCAAATATCTCTGCGCACGTGATTCTTTTGTAAAATTGAAATGCATCCTGGCATACACTGAGTATAACACGACAATAAATGTGGTCAATGAAGACCAAAAGATCGACGATGTGGCTTATTTGTTTTAAACTCTCTGAAGTCCCTTGGTATACTTAGCAACTTTAATCGAGTCGTGGAAGTACTCTATTATTATCCCCTTAAGAGTAACACTATTCAATTCTAGCTTACAGGTCCGATTTTATTACATGGCTCAGTGGACTTGACTTTACAGATGCACTTGAAGTCAAGTTTTTGCTGTACATAAACCAACCAAATTCCACCAAACCATGCCCGAAAAATGATTTTAGAACGGGTAATATTTGAAAATAATATTTCTGCTTACATTCTGTGCTGTTTATAGTCGGGTCAGATAAGTAGGTCAGATAAGTAGGTCAGATAAGTAGGTCAGATAAGTAGGTCAGATAAGTACATGTCGGCAATAAACCACCAAAAATTTGGAGATGGTGCAGTTTAAACCTCTTTCATGGCAGAGCTAGAGATTAATTCAGTTTATCCCTTGGCAGGTAGACTTTATTAGAGTGGTATAGGAAATTAGTAAAAGTGGTCTATATGCGTGACCGGGCAACCACGCTCGCTTTATATGTATCTTTAACTTTAAAGTCTTATAAAAGACCATTGGTTCATTGGTCATTTGTATTGAAACATTATTTGTGCATGAACAGTTTTCTTTGGAAGATTTCCAGGGAGAATTTACAAGAAATTACACAAAAAAAAAAAAAAAATGATAATTGGATATCCTAGCAAAATAATTATAAATGTAAATGTGGAAATTGAAGACGGCACAAGTTTCCATGTGCTAATTTGTATTTAACTTGTATTGATCCAATAACTCAATTTGCATTGTTACCAAGAAAACAAGAATACCAATTTAAGGTCAAACAGACATCAGAAGTTTCCAGAAAGTAAAATGACCTAACATTAAGTTCTGAACTTTCATCCAAACTATGTCAAGCAAACCCTACATTTGCAAATAAAACTACAATTAATTTAATTTGCATTTTCATAAAAAGATTTATCCATACCATATATTTTTTCGTAAATGTTTTACCATAAAAAAAAGACTCGGGCAACAGTTATCAAGAAAAGATTTTTGGACCTGTCGTTAAAGAATGCACTTTACTAAAACAGCATTTTCAAGGTACTTTACCTTATCTTTCTGTCTTTTTTTTTAATGGAACCCATCAGATATATATCTGTTTGGGACATTGGGAGGGTTCTATCATACTCGTGTTCTTAAGAGTAACCTTTGGGCGTTTGAACAACGTTAAAGGTACAGGGAACTGAATACCTCTACAATATCCACTCAATCCAACCTTCAGCATCATTACACTAGTTGCATTACTAACCCCATCCGTTACAAATAATTCACATTGATTCCTTTCAGGGCTATCAGAAGCCAGCTACATATACACGGGGGAGGAAGGACAGGCACTGAACCCTCTGATGGAGCCGATCAATGACGACCTGAACGAGCCCCAGGTTCTCCCTATTAACCCCGTGTTACCGCGTTCCCTTCTGGCCCGTATCTGGCCCCAGTTCAGCCGCGAGGTCCGGAATGGCGTGTATAAGAAGAAGCAGTGCAAGCCGGGTCTGCTGACTATGTTTGGTTGCAGTAGAGGATGTAAGTGTTCATTGCAATGTGAAAAATATTTTTTTAGATAATTGTGGGTTACAAAAGGGACCCATCCACCTATGTTTGCTAATTATCTCTCTTTCTTTCTCTTTTCAAGAAATGAAATGATTTTTGAATTAATGGTGTAATTTGGGGCGTTTTTTTTTCGTACTCGGTAACTAAAAAATCCTTCTGTAGACTTCCCTTTTTACCATTTTATCCTCTTTTATAAAATAGGTTATGGAAGGGGCACCCTATTTCTTCTAATTTTTCAAAATATATTTTGTCGGGTATCGTGTGATGTCATAGATATTCGCTGTTTCGTGGTTATTTATACTTTCGTCTTTTTATTAAAGTTTTTATCAATCGCACGACTTCTCAAGACAGATTTTGATGGTTTATCTATATTTATTTGTATAGCACTAGTACTGAAGTTGGTAAAAATGGCGTGCTAAGCCTTTTTCACATCTAGCGGTATACCTTTACGGCCTGGACCACCCATATTGGGAGGTCCTAGCACGTAGTTACTGTACAGGGTGTTTTACTCTCTTTTGCCAGTTCGCTTTGTGCTAATTTATATGGTTCAGTCGAGCGCGGATTCTTCGTTTTTGATGAATCTTTTACGTAATAGCTGGGCCATTAAATTGTCAACTTCGCAAAGACTGCATGGCTGAAGTATATCGCTCCATGTGAAAAGCACATTTTTTTTTGGCAAAAGAGCCCATTTTACAAAAGAACTTTAGCCGAAAATAGGTTAATGTTTCAGATCAATACTTTATATAAATTTTATTTACAATACTTCTTTTAAGTGGTCTACCACAATTAGTCCTACGAGTTCACACTGAGCTAATGTAGACCATTTTTTGGGGGTCTTAAGGTTTAGATCAATTTAAGGCTTTTGTTCTTTTGTGATAACGAGCTCAGATGTGTAGTAATATACACTGCACATGTGTTTATAAAGTACACCCGTACCATATTTCAATGTGCATGTCACAACCCGTAGTTTTAGAAGTATGCACATATCAAGAATGTTTTATACATTTGATGACATACGTAAATCTGTTCAACAAGGACTTCAGAGTTGAGTTTGGATAATATTTTATACTTGTAGTATGTCGTTGCCAATTGTGATGTATTTTTGATTTTCTCACTCCTCACGTGTTTTGCAAAAGTGTGTTAGGTTAGAGACTCAACATATCATTTCTGTTTTTCAGAAACTCCCTGTTCTGTTTGAAAGTGTTTTGCATTCATTTGGAGACCTTATATTATTTGGACAAAGGACAAAACTCTTATTATATGACAAAAGGATGGATATTTTATTGAATGGATGGTGAATACTATTTTCATTTCTCGCATGCCGACTGACTAGAACTCTTCAGAGCGTACACGCATGTTTTATCTACTTCTTGGAGAATGCGCATATTATTCAGAGAGAATCTTCTGTCTTGCAGAAAAAAAGTACATATTTGGAATGCCATATTTCGTTCACGAGAGCATGAAGGATGGATTATTTCACTTCATGAAATGGCGATATTAACAGTTTTTCGTTTTACACGTGCATGGTGAAGTCATTGACGTCAGAACTGGTGTGCATGTCTTGCAGAGTTTCAGTTATATAGATATATACGAAATCACTGTTGGTGACGTAACGGTCCCTTGCGCGCTTTCTTTCAGCTGGCATCATTATACAGAACGGAAGAGAAGACCAACCAAAGCTGATCACGATTTAGTCCAAATGTATCTCGAGCCTTCAGAGTGACAGAAATGCAAATCAATTCACAGCCGCCACGTAAAGAATGAAAACCAAATCTAATAATGGGCATTCACGTACGACAGATGGTATGAGATCCGAAGTTTTCTCCATATCCCGTAAAACCCACCAGGAAACTGAAACTGGACATGGTGATGTTTAATTGCCATTCTTTATTCGAATAAACCTACAACCGGACCAAGCAAAATATACACTTTAATATTCCCAATCCGTCGTGAAGAACAAAGCTGTTGGCTCCAATCATTAAACTTAAAAGTATCAATGCTGTGTGCATTAAATTCTGGTAAACCAAGTTAAATCATTTCTTCAGATTTTGTATGATTTTGGTTTAAGTAATTACAAACGGCCAACATAATTAAGTTAGGAAATTCACTGATTACTGTATTTAACCTTATTTGACGATAATAGTTTTGATGAAAAAAGATCACTCACATGTGAAACAGCATATAATTGCAACATGCTTAGTTTTAGCTCACAACGGAAAAACGGAATCCCATATATGACATCATCTATATACTGCTTACTGGACTCGTGTTTTGTATGTGTTTTATAAGTAGAAATCGGTAAAAGTCAATCACATCCATTCATTCATATTCATTAGTCGTATTTTGATCTAATTAAATTAAATCGTATCTTTTATAGGTCATACTTCATTTGTTTATATTTGTTTAACTCTTTCGTTTGTCAGCAGATCCATTTATTCTTTCACAAAAGCGAATGGAATTTTTGAAAATATAATAAATGGCAGTACCCTTTTAAAACGCGTTTATTATATGGATTGGAGCACATAGCGCTATTTTTCATAAATTCATGAAGTGAAGTTGAATAAAAAAATAATAATAATGAATAAATAAGAAATAAGAAATAATTATAATAAAAAAATTACCCTGGAGGAACCACGATATCAATGAGGTCTTTTTATCCCCACGGTTAAGAGTGTGGAACTTGAGACGCGCTATTTTGTTTTGTAAAAATGAACGTGACCAAGCACCGTCTGTGCTTATCCTGATAGTATTGGTGATTTAGGAAATATCACCCAGTCTTATACTCCATTTCAAATAAAATGGCAAATATTTTATCTGAGTTATTATTATCTGGCAAACAACATAAAGTGCCTTTCATATCAAAGAGTGCACTGTTCACGAGCACAATTTACAGGCTCAAGGGACCGTTTATTCTAACAAAACGACACAATAACCTAGAAGTCATCACTTTCGCAACTCACATACAGTATATTCCGAAAGGTGTGGCATTACATGGGAATCTTCTGGGAAATATAGCGATTGGGGTACAATTAGGTTCTGTTATTGCAGTCATTTGTTTTCTTAAGCACAACATACACTTTGTGCTACGAGCTGAGCTACGAGATTCCGATGGCATGAAAGACATAACCCCTGTGACAGGAAAGAAAGGTCCATTAGGAACCGTAGTCCGTCCCCGTTACTTTGCACAGGCAACATTCGTCCCAGATTCTAACCCAAATATTAAGACTAACCATTACCTGGAGTAACCAGATTGAACCCTGTACTTTCGTAAGAAAGACTAAAGGAATTATTTTAGATCAAAAAGTAATTGTATGAGAAGTAAAGAGAAATATGTCCAATTATGACGTTCTGTGAAGTATAAAATTTTCAATTAAAAAACATTTTAGTGTTTTTTAAAAGTCATCTGCTGAGCTGATCATCCTTATTTCTGGTGGTAAACGATTCCATTCATACACGGCCATAGTACAATGCAGAACACGTTCCATCGTCCGTGTCTCAAGGGTCAGACATCAACAAGAAGAGAATGTGAAAACACTGACCTGTCAGTCTCACGAGAAAGACAGTTTTGCCCATAGCTAACAGTGCCCACTGGGGATTCATTTCATATTCCACGCCCTTTATATGCTCACAAATAGAGCGACTCGTAATGCTTTCCATTAACCCGAACCAACAGGGAAATAAAGTAAAAGTATTTACTAGAACTGGCTCGTTTTTATCGCAATTAATTTGTTGACTACTTGACATCTGCTGTGTTTTTTGCTTCCTTTTATCTTTTTTACCTTTGTTTTTATATTTTTAATTTTTGCCTCGTGGTAACAAGGAACATTATTATGGACATAATGAAGGTACGTTTGGGAAATTTGCAAAGTGCATTCAGAGTCATATATTTTAGAGAATTAACACATTTCATTGTTCTTTATTACAACAAAAGTACCATTGCTTTTTACCATTCCTAACATCCATCAGGGGCGTATACAGAAAAGGCATTAGGCATTAAATGAACTAAGCAATAAACTAGGGGTTACATGAACTGGCTTAAGGATAGAACTTCGTTATGCCAAATGTTCTCACGGGCAGGTGTGACATTTGGCTATGCAATCTGGGAAATTTAAAAAATAGGTGCTTTTGAAATAATGATCGTATTTATTTTCAATAGGGTATCGTTGAGGTTTCTTCTCTTGATCATTTCACTCATAATGATTGCATTTATTAATGAAATTAATTGAAATGAACATTTGAATTATTATTTTGGCTTTTTATGGGAGATTAAACGTTTTCTATAAGACGGTGTGGTGTCAGTGTCAAGCATTATGGCAACCGATACTTATAACAATCAGTTGTCCTCATACGTACACGAAACAAATTATTGCTTCAAACCTTATCAATCTGAAAAAAAAAAAATTAAAAAAAAAGTAACGCATAGTATTATAAAAACATACAAATGGGCAAGTTGGCAATGTTTTGAATGGAAACTGCAACGCATATCGTTCTTCGGGAGAAAAATATTGAAAACGCACTCAACTTCCTTTCTCCTATTTTACTTTAAGAGGACTGAGTTTGCGGTCATCACGACATTTAAGACGTATTTAGAACGCATGCGCAGAGAATAAGAGTGGTAAATGAAGGAGACTTTGCCCTAAATTAATCTGCGTGTTTTTTTTTTTTTTTTTTTGGTTTTTTGTTGTTGTTGTTTTGTTTTTTTTTTTTTTGATAGCAATAATGGCAATGAAAAATATTTGACAATCATCATAAATTATCTGAAAGGTCGATTTAACCTTAGCAAAGAGCCGCACAATTTCAACTGCAGAATTGTTTACCAAACAACAATCAAACAAAAGCCATTTAACAACACCTTAACCTTTATTGTACACCTGTTGCTTTAAATCATATTTGTTCAAGAATGGTATGGGATATGCATCACAATAATAACAAACACATTTTTTGCGCCTTGTGTTCCCATCGAAATGCTACATTACAATTATTTATACATCACAATTATCTAAGAACAATCATTACCGCTGGCAGTGTAAGATACGTACGTTCCCTAAATCCCCCATACATACACAAACTATTCTAGCTAACACTGAAAGAACCAGAGATGCAAAATTATTCCACTATACGCATTTATGTTGCACAGGGGCGGATGGAGGCCATCTTCTGAGTCTTCCACTAGACGGTCAGAATTTTTCAAGTTTATATTGACGGGCATTTTTTTTTTTTTTCTGCCGGAAGACTGTCAAAAACGAAGGATGGATCAACAGGGATATTTTGAAAGACTGTCAGAAAATATATCTGAATCCGCCCCTGAGTTTGCGGTCATCACGACATTTAAGACGTATTTAGAACGCATGCGCAGAGAATAAGAGTGGTAAATGAAGGAAACTTTACCCTAAATTAATCTGCGTGTTTTTTTTTTGGTTTTTTGTTGTTGTTTTTTTTTTTTTTTGATAGCAATAATGGCAATGAAAAATATTTGACAATCATCATAAATTATCTGAAAGGTCGATTTAACCTTAGCAAAGAGCTGCACAATTTCAACTGCAGAATTGTTTACCAAACAACAATCAAACAAAAGCCATTTAACAACACCTTAACCTTTATTGTACACCTGTTGTTTTAAATCATATTTGTTCAAGAATGGTATGGGATATGCATCACAATAATAACAAACACATTTTTCGCGCCTTGTGTTCCCATCGAAATGCTACATTACAATTATCTATACATCACAATTATCTAAGAACAATCATTACCGCTGGCTGTGTGAGATACGTACGTTCCCTAAATCCCCCATACATACACAAACTATTCTAGTTAACACTGAAAGAACCAGAGATGCAAAATTATTCCACTAAACGCATTTATATTGCACAGGGGCGGATGGAGGCCATCTTCTGAGTCTTCCACTAGACGGTCAGAATATTTCAAGTTTATATTGACGGGCATTTTTTTTTTCTGCCGGAAGACTGTCAAAAACGAAGGATGGATCAACAGGGATATTTTAAAAGACTGTCAGAAAATATATCTGAATCCGCCCCTGTTGTATACATATGACTTTCGACAAAATCCTCGTGTTTACAAGTGTCGATCCGTTGCGTATTGTAAACATTGTTGTGTTGGCAACTCTGATTAACAAACGTGTCGTGTTACAATGGAAGACGTCGATAATATGTTGATTGACATGCATTATCCATATAAAGAAGATCTACATGTCTATATGTGCTTATCTGAACTTTTTCAAAAGAAATAGTACACATAGGACAATATATCTAAAGGGAAAAACACGCCTAGTACATTTTATCGTCTTAACAAACAACCCTTTGCAATTCCACCTTAATTTGTATGTAAAAACTCCGAATGCCAAATAATTTTAAACATTTCCTAGATTTGAACACTCTGGTACATAGCACTGCCCCGGATATTCAGTGGCTAAATAAAAACATACATTCAAGCATACCTATACAGCAAGAATTCCAAATGTAATTAACAGCAGGTGGCGTCAGTATTTTTTCATAGAGACTTAGTTACAAGTGATTCCACACTTATTTGGACAGTGCTTAAAACGTATATCCGCGTCTTCGCCGGTAAATTTGACGCCCGGTGAGCAGTACCAAGACGGAAACGAGGCACAGTAGCTTGCGTCACTTCCGCCAACACCCATCAGGTGACAGTCCACATCTGACGAACAAGAAAATAATGAGAAAAATCTCTTGAGCATTTATTATAAATATAATGCTGAAATGTAATTGTCTTTGCACATGTGAACAATTTAAAGGCCTAAAAATCAAGTTATTGTTTGTCAGTCACTTTTATTTCAATCGCTAGATAACATTTATCTTTTACTGTACTGGGTTGATATAAAAGTCCTTTCAAACCAGAGTGCATTGGTTGATACCAGCTGAAGGTGTTTTTTAAGAACAGAAATTCTTTATTCCCCAAACCAAATTCATCACAATTGCATGCAGGAATATGCACAAGTAGAGTGTTATACCTTTGCTATTTCTGAAATAATGCTTTACTTACAACTTTCACAATGTTGACCCCCAAAATACGCCGGACAGTCGCACTTGCACGACGCATAGTTAGCAGTCCCTCCATTCTGGCAACTACCCAAGCTACACAGTACTGGGGACGAAAAAATGAAAGAAAACCTAAAGTTGCTTATAATTGCTGTTGATAGATGTCACCAAAATCATAATCATAATACTTTCGAGAATATTCAGCATTCAGTGCAGTTAGGACAATAAAAGCCCTGGTTGCACAGTCAGTCGGCTGTGCTTTAATCTCGGTCAAAATGTGGCCCGCATCGGTTAAATGGAAAGTTCGATGTGATTACAATCAATTAAAAATAATCTTAAAATAACCTTTGAAAAGTTTTGTGAAATCTCGAACTATCTCGTTCCTTAATTACCTTGTTCACACTGTGCTCCCCCGTAATTGACCGGACAGTCACATTGACACTGCGCGTAGTTAGCCGTGCCACCATTCTGACAATTTATCACTTGATTGTTACAAACAATAGGGGCCGCTGAAATTATTGTGACGTCACACTTAAATTATTTTGTTATTTCATGTTGTGCTAAATTGCGGTGTATTGCGCAATCCAGCCACACCCTTACTGTGAAATGGCTATGCCAAACTTATCTGGGAATTATAAACAAGAATTTTTGAAATATACATAAAAAGTTTAATATTTTAAAATACTTTTACCGAAACGCACATGATTGCATAAATAGCAAACGACAGGTATCAACTTGAATGATTCTAAATTTAATAGTACCAATGCAGTATGTAAGTAGTAGTTGATGTGATTAATGCCAAATGGTTCGGTGGTTCAATGTCAGACAATGTCAAATATTCTAACTGACTCACAACATGCAGAAGGATCCCTCTGACACTCCTCTTTGGTCACTGGAATAAAACCGAGAATACTAAAATACAAATATCACAAAATCGAAACAATGACAATTAAACCAGTTGATAAATTCAGCTTGTGATAATTTGAAGCACAATCTTGAAGTGTTGAGTGCTTTTGTAGGTAAAGGAGGTCATTTGATACTAAATGAATTTTGTAACAAATTCTGAATATATTTTAATATAAAAACGTACCACAGAGTCCATTGCGACAGTCTCCGGTATTCAGCCCCTCGCTGTCTGCACAGCCAGAACAGGGGGCGCCGCTGACGTAGGGGAATTCCCAGTTGTAGTTTCCCCTGGAAGAGTGATTGGGTGTTTTAACATTCTTAAAAGAATTATTCAATATAATTTATGTTTCGATTTCTAATGACTACGTTCTTTTTTCATTCTTATTTGATTTCCAAAGGCAAATTCCTAAAAACGAATGTTTATTTTCTTGTGGAAGTTGGGCGGAAGCAGAATTGGATGTGGTTTCTCGAAAAAGCAAAGTTGCTTTTATGTGGTTCTAAATGTAAAATATATCAGACTAATTACCGATTGAGTTCTTGAAACCGACCTCAAAGAAATAGGTAAAAATGACGTATAACATGAAGAAAAAACCCTCTGATCTTGCATAAAGAAATGTTTGTCAAAATAAAATGACTTACGCTGGTGAGTAATTGCAGACTACCAGATACCAGTTGGGGTAGGAAGAACCGAACGGTGAGTTGGCGGTACAGTATTTTATACCACAGCCCACCTTATTACTCTTAGCCCAGGCCACCTAAGGTTAAGGGGGAAAAGAATGGTGTTTATAGCATAAATATCATAAATAAATAAACAAACAAATGAAACAAGTTGCCAATTCAAAAGGGCTATAATACAAAAGAAAAGAAGGCTAGAAACATTACGTATAAATTCACAAGTTACAAAATGTGGTACCGTCGAATATTTAATTGATAATTTTCCATGTATTGTGACTTAGCACGTATAGCGTTTACCTGAACGATGACATGTGTAAATATTAATTAATTTAGTCACTGAACACTGAAGATTTATCTATTGCCCAAAAGAATGTATATAAGGCAGTAAATAGGAGTTTTGGGCCAAGGGTGACAATATCCAATAGAAAAACTTAAAACAATGTAGTCAATATTTAGTACTTCGATCAGAGCTAATATAAGTAAAGCAAAATATTTTACATGGTCTTTCTTCTTTTTGGCCGCACTTAATAAATGAATATACGCTAATGTTCTATTTCATTTTATCCAGTTCATTCCAAATACTACATCCAAATGTAATAATGGAAAAAAAGAATACCCAAATGTCTGGATGGCATACACATGGCTTAAGACAATTGTTTAACTGCAATATCAATCTCAATCATGGTTCATCCAAATTACGTATTACGGGGAAATGAAGGTTTTAATTAAGGAAAAATAATGTTTTAATTACGGCTTTTAGTTCTTAATTTCTCTTAATCAGAACACCAGATTCGCCCTGAGAATACATGATTTTGATACATGGCTGATTGGGTGACATTTATGCTGTATGATGAGACGATCTCACACTTCATTAAAGAAATTAGTAACGACAGTGTGCTACATCTTAAATTTTTTGCGTCACATTTAGTGATAGACCGTATTCGTTTTTCGTGAAACATTGAGAAGGATTTGTTTTACGTGCATTTGAGTTGACAAGTGAAGGCATTCCAAGACTTAACAATAAAGGTCTCATATTTTCTTAAACATATATTTTTCCGTCTATAAAAATGTAAGCATAGTATTCTATCACTCGTTTTGCTAAGTACCTTAAGGCCTGGACCCATTACACACGACACGATACGATACATGAACTATCCAGTACTCTGGCTTGTAGACACACTTTTTAAAAATATTGAGAAAGGATGGTCAATATGTCAAACTACTCTCTCTCTCTCTCTCTTTTCATTGCCTGCCACTCTCTCATAAAGCCTGGTTCATCTTATTTATCTCTATTTCACGTATTCGGCCTACCCTACATGATTCCGTATCTTGCAATTATCAACGAAATTACCCGAGTTGCTCCGAATGCAGGGGCGGATCCAGGATTATTTGAAGGGGGTTGGGGGTGGGGCAGGGATGCGAAGCCGACCCTCCCCCTCCCCTTAGCGTGGGGTTCGGGGTCCACTGAAGGGCCCGAAAAATGTTGGTATTTTCGGGGACGAACTGTGCCTTTTTGTACGATTTAGAAATTCTAATTTCAAGAGGGGGCCATTGGTGTGATTTTTTCAGAAATCGCAAGGGGATCCGGACCCCCCTGTTACCGCCCCCCCCCCCCTAATTCCGACACCGGAATGACTTTTCCACTTTTAATTTAAAAGTGCACATGTACTACTGACCTGTGTGTAATGACCGCAAATCTTCCCTGAGTCACATGACTTCATGTTGTACGTGTAGAAGTCCTTCTCGCTGAACCAAGCGTCTACCGGACCCGTCACTGAAGGTTCAGAACCGGCCCGAGCATACAGGTTCTCGCCCAGACCGGAAGTACTGTGGGAATAAACGCAGCCATTGGCCCACGCCTGCGCAGTGGCACCCAGACTGTCGTCCCAAATCTTTTAAACAGAATAAAATTAAATGAAACCAAAAGTAAAATGGACAGAATAATTTCTGGGACTTTCAGGGTTTGCAAATTGGCGGGCAGTTTTTCAGCATGAGAATAATCATAATATTCAGTATATTTATTCAGAATGGGGCTAAGTTCTAATAAAAAAAAACATTTTACTTTCTGTCAAAATTTCGTTTCACAAATCCTTCCGTTTTATTTTAGAGTATGGCAGATCATGGTCTATAGGTAATTCCTATTGACCGTAACGGCAATTGTGACGATTGTCAACAAAAATATGCCACTAGCAACAGCTACAAGTCCGAAAATTCGCTATCCACCCGTTTCGTTAAAAACTTTGCAAACTTTGTCAACTAATACGCCCATAAATTAACGCTGATAGTACGTACCATTCGCTTCATGTTAGCGGCAGTCGGGCTCACAAGTCTCCTGTTCTGGTTGTGCTGGTTCACCAACGCCATCTTGTCTTCGTTGCTGTACCCGGTGATACTGCGGAGGACCCGCTCCATCTTGTGTTCTGAACCAGACGACACATCGCCCACGGCTATCTCCACGTTGACATTGGGTTTGGATGCTGGGTTGTGAAAAGAGGAAGATTACTTTGTTCATTTATTATTTCGAAATAGGTTTTGTTTATAAGATAGTGATCAGTTTTAGAAAGTTTTTTAATTGAGTTTGAATATTTAAAATTCGAAATTGGCAAGGTTTTAATAATTGCCCTTGCTTATTCGATGGTTTTTTGTTCATGCAAGATTCTGAATAATAATCAAAATCAATTCCTTTTGGCATTGATTGGTAGCGGAAACCAAACGGACTTCTATCAAAAACAGACGTAAAATATATCTAACTAACTACTCCTTTTCATATATTATCATCTCAAAACATTTCTCCAGACACCCGTTATTAATACTTAAAACTCTTAATAAGATAGATACATGCAATTATCTTAGCTTTTTACATTAATAATAAATTTGCTTCATTATTATGAATTGCTACATCTATAGGCCTATCTATACGTTCTTTATAAATTGATGTTTCACTTTGAATTCTTTACTCATATTCTACTCAAAGTTTCAATGCACCATACCCAGAGTACGTGTATAAGCCAGTGAAAGTATGGTCAACAGCGAAAGGATCGACACCATAGTTATCCTGTCTGAAAAAAAAAAAAGAAACTCAGAAAAAAAAAAGAGAGATGACAAGCTCACGTTTTGTTGTAAATGAACAAATATGAGATTTTCACATATATTTACACCCATGTTTACTTTTGGCAAAGATTTCTTTTTGTTTTAGTACCTGGTTGTTAATAACGTCGTTTGAAACTCTTGTAGACATTGCCTCGCGATTTTAAATTTTCAACGCGTGCTACAAGAAATCTACATGTATGCTACAATTAACGCATCGGTTCGAAAAACAAGCAAGCTGAAACAAAGCAAGCTTTATTGACCTTTGTCGTTATTCTTGAACAACGGATACCACTTTATTTTTGCTCCCGGTGTAACGAAACTGAGGGTCCGTGTAAAAGTAAGTCCTCCCTCCATTTAGTTATAATGATTAGGGTTAGCCTGACCTAAGGGGGTCAAAATCTACCTGTACAAATGAATGAGAAGCGGACTCTCTATCATGGGGGACTCTTTGTCACGTTACACCGGCTTTGTCAAAGACACGTTAGTTTAAAAACTTACCTTACTGGAGTCGTCTTTGCAAGATGTTTCTTGGTGTGCGGGCCCGTGGATTTGTCCGGGGGAATACGAAGGCAAAGTCTGAATACCATCTTATTATATAGGCATTGAGTTGCCTCCGGAACTCTGAAAACACTTGGAATAAACAAAAATTAGGTGATTAACTAGTGAACCTTTTTTGATCTTGACAAATGTGGGAAATTAAATTATGCACATTATTTGGGGAATAATAGAGAGATGTAATAATTGATGAAGTTCTTAGTTTTCACCTGCGAGAGCAAAGGGAAATAAGATATAAAAAGGACGCGACCTCGGAATTTGTAGCCTTTCGTACAATGCTGACGCCAGAATGGGAGTATTTGCTCAGTTTAGACAAGTAATAATAAATAATTAAACAGTGTATTTCAATTATTTATTTCACTTTTCTAGTCGGATTTTGTTCAAATGGAAAACAGGTAGATTGTTCAAGGCACCTGTAAAACAATGACAAATATCATGATTAATATTTAATGGATTATTTGATTATGCCTGTTGACCTATGCGATTGTTTTGTGTTGAAGCAGGAAAACAGGTGGAATCTCAAACGTGTGGGTGAGCAAGCAGCTGCAGGACAACCTGGTACTGAGAGCTGCTTATTTCATTGAAGACCCTCATTGTGAGTTCGAATAAGCAGTGTTTTTTATGTTTACTTGCCAACTATTTCCAAAGGTTTGGGGGGGGGGCGGAGGTAGTGAAGACAGGGAAAAATTCTATCGGGAAAATTTCTCATTTCGCCTGTTTTAATTTTCTTATAGTGGGGATGAACAAAAAAAAAAAAAAAAAAAAAAAAAACAACAACAACAAAAAAAAAAAAAGACACGTGTCATTTCTATGTGGCAGGGCATGACAGATAGATGTTTCTATCTACATGTGTTTCTTCAATAATTTACGCCGAGGTTTCGTAAACAACAGGGCTATTTTCTGCACGTATTTCCGACTTCATAATTGAAAATTCAAGTGGATAACCATGTTTTTGTTGTAGGCGGCATCATTCGTGCAATATGTATAATTCAATAATTTTGTTAAAACAAACAATGCGTTGCCAAAAAAGAAATCGTCATAAAAAAGAGCCCAAATATGTTTAAAGAGTAAATCGTGATCTAGGCCCTTTGACGAAGGGTCGAAACGGCTCTTGGCTCTTGGCTAACGATTTACTTTTGAATGCCCCAGCTCCTGTGATCAGATTCTTATAAAGAGAGGGGTCGGCGTAAATGTATTAACAAACTCCACAGATATTTTCAGTCCAGCGGAAAAAAGTGCAGATTCTTTTAGCAGCCATCACCAGTTTTGCTTCCTGTCGCATTTTGTCACTCTCCATTGTCTATCAAAATGCAAAATAAGTGATCAAAGTCGGTTTTGTATCTCTGAACCACTTTAATAACATCGCTACATTTATGCTCAATGGTAACTAATTTAATATTTGAATTCATAAACCGATCAGGTGACAGCCTGGCGTGCTAACTGCTATACAACATTGGTCAAAAAGGTTGTCCCACCCCCATTTCCATGTACTTTTATTTACAAATGATTACCTCACAGCTGTAAATTGTTAGAAATAGTGCTTTTTATTACAGATACCGTGTCTATCATGATTGATAGTATAAAAAAATACAAAATAGTGGTGAAAATATACATATTTTATACCATTTAGTAAAATTTATAAGAGGTACCCCCTCAAATCCACTGTTTCACTGTGACTTCTACTGATGTAAAGAAAAGTCTATTGAATTTAAAAGACGCCATCAAATGTCACCAAATTCACACACAATTAGCATTAGGGTGTGCTCGTTAAAAGTCACGTGCCTAACAGCGTGTGCGTCTACCGCGTCCTGCAATTATCTCCTGTAGACGGCGCGACAAGTCTTCAACACGGGTAACAATTCTGTTTTGTGGGATATTGTCCCATAAAAACGTGGCCCGACTCCCCCAACTTGTTTAAGAAGAATGTCTTTTATGTCTCTTTTAGTATTAAGATAACACTACTATTATAACTGTAAACCTAACTTAAACTTACATTTGCAAAATAAATATCATGATTATCTTTCAACTTTTTATCCGTTGCGTTCTAAATGTATTTGCTAACCTGTGTAAAGAGAAAAAAACTGATGGAATAAAACTGATTAAATAAAATTTATTTAACGGCTGCAGGGCCGTAGCCTCCTGGGGCAGCTGCCCCCCCCCCCCCCCCCGGGATTTGAGGTGCAAAAAAAAAAAAATAATAATAATCGCAAAGGTAAAAAAAAAATTGCAAAGTTGGTATCAATTCTGTGAAAAAATGCACTCATGACCACTAGACAATCATTCAACAATCTGTTTACAAAGGAGTACTGTTTTTAGCCAACTCACTTCATGCCAAAAAGCTCACCCTCCCTTAGGGAGCTATCCCCCAGGCCAATTGGCGTGTTGTGTTGAAAAAATGACTGTATTTATGGCAAAATGAACCCACAATTTCTGACTTCTGATTGAGCAATAAATAACAGTTAAAATGCACCAGAATGCAGTATTATACATTCAGCTTTTTTTAAAATTTTCCACACCGTGGGAGGGGGACACCCCCTCCCACACCCACCTCCCTCGGGGGCTTCGCCCCCTCGTGTCCGCTTACTGCCCCCCCTGGCATTTTGCTCAGGCTACGGCCCTGCAGCTGTCAGATTAGGGAAAAGGTGATTGATAGTTGGCGACATTGGATTTTTGGAAGGGTTTCATCCCAGCGTAATAATGTATTCATCAGGTCTAAATAAGGTGGCATTGAATTACGGAACCCGAAATCAAAAGTGTGATTCATAATCACACGGAAGGCAGCTTTCAATTTCAGTTGTCGTGTTCAAATAAAAATAATAATAATAATAATAAAAGCTACTTCTATCTCGCATTGCTTAAAATCCTGCCATTAATGTTCTTGCTTTCGCAGTGCTGTATTAAATCCGTTAGCTGAGATCGGTAAGATATATTGTGTTTCGTGTTATTTCAGTTATCACAATGCAAGTGGTCATTATTTTTCTGGTTGTGTTAGTTGTAACCTAACACCAAAACCGCAACACGCGAGACACAGAGACACCTGCTCAATCTTTTGAAGAGGAGGAGAGAATAATACACTGTGACGTCATCGCTTGGCAAGGTGAGCTGAGACTTGAAAAGCCGGTACTAGGGACTGATGAAGATGGAGCTGTTCGGATATTTAGTAGCAGTTGTGGCAGTTTTTCATGCAGGTAAGAGCAGCCATATAACTGATGTCTGTGTGTTATATTTCACGAGGGAGTGGCATTGTTGGGAAAGGTAGAATTTTTCGTGGGAAATTTGACCGTTGAGACTGCGCCAGGTCCCCGCCATTTTGCTGTATGCGACAGGTAACACACGGTCACGAGGTCACTCGCTGTAGAACTTGGCAGTTATTACCTAAGGCTGATTTTCTTCCTTCTTCGTCAACGATGTTAAAATTCCCAGAGGGCTCGCAATAAAATATTGTCGAAATTATGAAATAATATTGTATGTTTGCGTTTACTGTAGTTTTTTGCCAGGTGAGGGGAGATAGGGGACGCAGTTTGAAAACGACAATTCGTTTAAATTTCCATGTTCATTTCAAACCGCCTTCCATGTGATTCTGAATCACACTTTTGATTTCGGGTTCCGTGTTGTGTAACGGTAATTTAATGCCACTTCATTTAGGCCTGATGAATTCATTTTTCATTGTTCCAAAGCGAAAACGAAACGATATAACTTAAAGGGAAATTTTAAAAAATAAAAAGTGGGAGGATTTCAATGCCCTTGCTGTGTCTGGATTGTGCAATAAATGCGTGGTGACCTACATAGACCTGCCTCTGTTTGCCGAGTCCAGTATTGATCTTGTTAACGGCAAAGCGCATGGCTTTTCATAGATTCAAATGTGCAATGTTAAATCCATAGCCATCATGGTATAGAAGCAGTAATTGTGCACTTTTTGCTTCTCAAACTTTTCTCTACACAGATATTTATTACCAAACAGCATATCACCAAGCAGCTTATGTCTTGTGAAATATGATAGATTGTAATGAGTAACATGATATATATGGACAGTGTATCATTTTTCTCCATATTGTCACAATGTATAAAGATCTGTGAAACATTGATTTACATTGTATATAAATAAACCCTGATTATCAGTTATGTAGGTGCTATATGGTGCTTCAAAAGAAATCCATGAAGGAGTATATTTTGTAGTGACATACACATAGACATCACAGAAGTGAATATCCAGCAAGCAAAAATTCAAACTGGGACCCAGATTTCTTTTTTTTTTCTCTCTGTCAAACAATCAAACAAACAAAGCATGTGTTGTTTGTTGGTGTGTAAATCTCTTTCTTTGAATTTGAATTTGAACAGCAAAGGGCTGATGTTTGCTCTAACAATATGTCCCCCTAATTTGGATTTGGATTGATAGGTTTTCAGTGCTGTTAAGTAATATTTTTCTTTGATGTTCAGCATGCACTGTTAACTTAAAGGGGGCCACCTGAGTGATGAATGCCAGTTAAAGAGCTGGTTGTCCAAACTGGTCAGTGGAAATTTGAAAAAAAAAAAAATCTTTCGCGAAGTGTCCAGGCTTCAAGCACATGCATGGCAGTATGATTTTGGCTCGAATGGCATTAGTTAACTCTAAGTAGACAATTTTAGTCCCACTATCTAATTTTTAGGTCTTCAGAGGATTATAAGTTTTTAAATTGGAGATAAGTTGGCTATTGGTGAGGAACAGCAGCATACTTGCAGCTTTCTTTTTTGTTGGATTGGGGGGGGGGGGGGGTGGCTGCAAGAGACTAGTGGAATTCAATATTTTGGATTAAGAGAAGTTTATCTTATGCTAAGTGGTCTGGTTTCCTACAGGTAAATACATGGAGCGGTTTTTATGTGGAGTTTTTGGGTGCAGGATGAGTCACTATGGAGGTGATTTCCTCACTTTTATAGAAACAATAACTCAATTAAAACAATATTAAGATGCATGACCCAGTGTTTCTCACTTGCAAAAAGAAATGGCATACGTGGCAAAATCATGTTTATTCTTTATTTTGTATTATACAATGCTCTGAACATTTAAAAAAATTAACTATGAAATTCTGAAGTAGAAGTGAACAGTTGTTGTGCCTTCTCTCTCCATCCCAGCACTGCTCTTTGCTAATCAGCCTACGAACTTAATTGGTACATGCTAATTGCCATGTGTTTCAAATACAAAATTTGGGTCAGATAATAAGAATCATCAAATGTCTGATGATTATACCTGATATAATTAATTTCATTTTTTATTGTTTGTTAATTAAATTTTTTTCCTTTGATGAAAAATTTGTAATGATGATTACATGAGAAGGCCAGCGATACTAGTTGTCCTTGCAAAGGTCTCCTTTAGAGCCTAGGAATGGTCAGCTGAAATATTGGTCAGTCCTTCCATATTTTCATCCAAGTCTAAGCCCCCCAGTCTGACAAACATATAAACCAATTGATATTTGATGAAAAGGAAATTACGAATTTCAAATCCCCCAATGAAAAGATCGTTATGTGACTAATCTTTCCTAAATGGGGGGAAAATCGGGTCAGGTATGAATGCCCCACTTCATAGCTGGTCAAGCGTGGCTAATAAAGCCCTAATAAATTGGGCACCCGAAGTGATGACATCTATAGTGTGACACACAATACACAGCCAACACTGTGCACCAAAGATTCCCGTCAGTAATAACCAGCTTGGCTCAGTAATGTATTATATGCATTGTTTGAATGGGGGGTGGGGGGAGGGAGGGGGGTTCTGGGGCGCGGTTCCACAAAGAAAGTTTGGACTGATTATTGGTGTCTACTTTATGACAAAAATTTTGACCGTTCAGGAAAGATGGGCCTTATTTTTCTTTTCTTTCTTGTGTTTGAATTAGTGCAGTTTTCCATTAAACGACATTGCTTCCTATTTATATAAGATCAAGATAAAAGTGGACTGAAACTTTTAGACCAACTTTCATTTTGAATTTCCTATTGTGGGGCAGGCTAGTCTCATAGAATGCACCTGTAGATATTTATTTTGTGTGGTAAGAGCCCTGAAGGGTCCCAATTTGAGGACGAGGAACACTGCATCTTGAAGAGTGTAAAGACAAACCAGCTAGTGTTATTGTAGAAGCTACCCTGTTACTTAAACTTTCATGCGGCTGAGATGAAAAGATGTTTACAGAGACTTGTCCCAGATTCTGAAGGGACCCGTATCATTTTTTTTTAGAGTAAAGGCACCCTGTTTTATGATCATGTTTATAATTTACAAATACACCTGCTGTTGGTCATAGGATCGTGCTATTAAGTGAAATGGAATACATGTAAAGAAACCCCATTTTCTTTTTTCCTTTCTTTTTATTTTGTGCTACTGTCCTTACTGTACAAAAGAAGTTACCACCAGTAACTTGAAAAAATCAGAACATGGAGGCGTGGTAATTCTCTAACTGCCTTAATTTGGAACTTGTCGTATTGGTCACCAGGGGTCGCTGTCACTTGAGAACTTGAGTCTCAAATTTGGTCTAAACTTTTAAGTCTATTTCAATTCAAGATCAATCCATAGTATTTTGCTTGAATGAAGTCAATGTTGTCTCGGAACATTACCACAATGCTTTATATTGTTATGAAAAAGTCACAATATTTCATCAAATTGGACTGCTACTGATTTAATTTAGTTCAAACTTGACAAAAAATTCTCACTCTGAAAGTTGAGATCAGTTTTGGGGCTAAAGTTCCTTTGTGGAATAGGCCCTTGACTGCCCTGACCTGTCTGCCCCTGTGATGGGAGGAAAATGAGATTTAAATGATCTGTGCTGTACCTGTATTATAGACTATTTCTCTGCTGTGAGAGGCCAGGGCTGGTGGTTAGCTGATGTCTAAGGAGTATAGAATGAGAGGAAATTGAAGGGTAGCCCTTCAGGTGGCCGAGAAAAGAATTTTTGAACTTTTTTTGTGAGGTCATTTGGAGTTAAATGAGTGTGTGTGATGTGCCCATTCAGCTTTTTTTACAGCTTATGGGCATGTCTTGTTTTATTTTAGAGAAAGTATATGCTTAGATTCAGAAAATGTTATAGATCTCTGTGTAGACTAGAGTCTGGATAGATAGCAAAGTTCATTTTTGATTCAGTTCTGGTGAATGCATTGTGTTAAAGCTGTCACTTCTGTTGCATATTAGACACCTTTTGAATGATCAGAACATAACTAGAAGCATTAAGTACTCATTAAGTCTCAAATCTTGGTTTGGCTTCAGCCTCCAAGGTCCAGGGGGGCAGGTATTTACTGTTTAAGGGCATGTCTTAGCCTTTGAGCTGGTAGGTAATGCAAAAACAATAGAACAATGCACAGCTTGACACAGATCACTTACTTTATATAAGCTAAAATAACAAACCTTCAGGAAATGTCATTGGTGATAATCAAAAAGTTGTTTCTTTACTTTTTGGGGGGTGGGGGGGGGGGGGGAGGTGTCATTCACCGAATTAGTGGACCTAGAAAAGTTAAAGTTATTTTGGTGCAGTCTTTGAAAAAGAAATGTATTGAGGCAAAAATTCTGACACTTGTGAAGTCTTGTAAAAGTTGTTTCGATCTGAGATTTACATTTTTTATTCGCCCCCAGGTAGATATGTTTGCACTTGTCAAGTCACTTGACAAGGTGCTTTGTTAACACTGTTTGTTAATTGTTATTTTAAGTGATTATTCGAGGGTTTTATGCTTTGGCAGTTGTGGTTTGGCATTATTTCCAGTTCTGGTTTTGGATCGGGCATATGAACAGTGGGAGGAAAGGGAACAGTTTTTGTTAAACACCCCATTCTCATAGATTAGATCGACCTACATTGGATCGACCTAACTCCCTGGGGGTTCACGCTAAATAGCTGTCAGCCGGGCGGACACGAAAGTTAATTACCCCTTAAAACTTGTAGTAGGCGGGGACGGACACTTAAGGGGGATTATCTGACAGTAATCTAGTGAGACTCCCCGCGGTGATAGATCGATCTAAAAGTTGTGAGAACAGAGCCAAAGACATTGTGGCAGATTACCAATATTGAAATAATTATGGTGTTCTGATATTTTGTGATAGAAGTGTCAGTTGAGTAGGAAAAAGCATCTAAAGGTTTTTTTTTTACCTTTGGTGGCAGTTGATTTGAAAAAAGGCCTTGGATTAAATGAGCTGCAATTGTTTATTGAGGTGAAATAACATGCATGCTTGTCATTCATGTGAAGA